GAACTGCCTTATTTTAATTTTCGTTCTCTCCTCTTACAATCGTCCACCGCCAAATGCAAAGATTTCTCTATCTCTCACAACAAATATGTCTACCAAGAAACTCTTTTCTAATACACGATTAAATAGCAGGGCGAGTGCACGATAAAAAATCACTCCATAAATCCAAAAAGTCAATTAAAAAGAATAAAAGATCACATTCATATGCACTATTACGTAACAACAAAAATTCGACCGAACATGAAGTATATAAAAATTCTAAAACCATCAAAAAAAAAAATAATCTATATATGTACTGGTCTACGTAAAAGGCACTGTAGACAAGAAATAATGCCCAAAAAATATTCAAGAACCACCGTCAAATCGATCTCGGCCATCGGATGTGGTAGATATGACGTTAGCGACTTATTAGGGTTAAAATCGGGATTTCATAAATTCAGCATATCCCAATAAAAAAAAACCCCATAAGCATTTGAGGGGAAAAACCCCCAAACAAGAAAACGACGTCGTCCCTTCTCCTTACGATTTTTCCCCGAAAAAAAAAACATAATCATCACCACCAACACTTCCTCATTAATCAACCTCCTCCACCGTCATCACCGATTATTGATTAGGAAATTTCCCATGCTATGTCCTATTCCCCCTACAACTATAATTCGTATGCCCTTAGAGCAACGAAATCTATTTTTCCTAATAATTACAATGTTTACATTGGATTGTATCCGTTTTTCCCAATTCGGGGTTGTTCTCTTTGCCGTTCGGTGGAGGAGATACAATTTGAAGGCTTTGCGTTGCCTTTTTCAATCCTACCCACTTTCAATATGATATTTTCACTGTCCTTGATGGAGGTGTTCTCAAGCGGAGTAAAAGTAGTAAATAGAGGTGATCGGTATAGACTGACAAGTTTCGGAGGCTTAGGAGATACTGGCTTTGTTTATGGGCACTGAGGACCACACTTCTAAGGTATCTGATAGAAAGATTGAATTTTTGCTCGTTGAATATTAGTTTCATGTAGTTTGTTGAATTTGGGATAACTGTTCCTTCTGCATGATGCTTTGTGTTGTAGCCGTGTGGGTTATTTTATGATCGATGTAGAAGGGATAGATAAGCGCTTTACTTGTCTGAGTTTTTTTTGTTTATTGTGACATGATCTCTGATGATATTGACCTCACGAGCTCCTACCTGATTCCTCCTTCCTCTCAAATTTGTATTCAATCTCCGTTATTTACTTCTCTTTTGTAATCCCTCTTGGACAAATTTAAACATTTTGCTGAATTTTGAACCTTGGATTGACTTTGATCTGTCCGATTAGGTCGCTTTAAAGGTGAGTTTTATCAAACTTGTGTGCCTTTATTCTTCATCGGAATATTGAATTTTGATTTTCTGGTGTCTGCCCGCAGTGGTTGGTAAATAGCTCTGTTATTAGAGTTTCCATGTGGGATTTTGAAGGGTAGTGAAATGTTTGGATTAATTCTCTAAAATTTTCGTTTACTGTAAGGGGTTTTCCCTGATTTTAGAATTTCTATAAGATGGTTGGATTTATGCTGGAACCGAAAGCAAGCTGCCTTTGCTTCCTTTTTAGTTGGATTAGTTCTGCTAATTCGACCGTGTTTATTATTCTACCTTCAATTATGTATATCTCGTACGTTAGAGCACCTGATGTTAATCTAGCTGCTGGTGTTAGATCCTGAAACCTGGTTACTACCATTTTTCTCTCCTTATGTATTTTCCTTCTTTTATTTTCAGTCAAGACAAACAACTGTCAGCGTGGAGGCTATGCTTGATGTTCTGCAACACCCGAAGAAAGGCAAGCTACGAGGTTGATGCTGGTGTTTTCAGTCTTGAATGCATTCTATTTGTCTGTCTTTAAAAATTTCTCATTTTAATTTAAATATTAAATTCTGAAATCTAATCTGGTTTTACGTTTGAAATTTACATCATTCAGACTTGTTAAATGATTGCAATATGTTTTTGACACTAATGTTATTGTTAATATGTTCTGATGTTCTATATTATTTAAAAGAATACATTATGTTATTTTCTTGTCTTTTTCACTTTTAACTTGTAGTTGCGAGAAGTAACATTAATTCTGTGTGTTTAACTAAAGGCGAAAGGGTTGTGGAAAAATTTTTTTAAAGGGTTGTGAAGGTATATCAGTTTATCATACCTTTTTCTTTTTCTTTTTTTTTTTTTTTTTGGCTGAAATTCATCATATCTTTTCAAGTTGTATAGGGTCTGATATTAAGCGTTTCTCCTACCCCAGTTCTTTCTATTGTCCTTACAAGATTTCTTGTGCTCCTCTACTAAATTAAAATTCAATCATGCATCAATGAATTGATCATATTTCTTCATTTGCAGCTTTCCCATCTTTAATGATGATGGGAAGGTGGGAACGGCTTTGTTGTTGTTATAGCTGCATCATTTCTCGGATCTGGTATGAATTTGGTGTGGATTCTAATTTGGATCCCTAACTTCTCTCGCTCTTCGAGTTACAATGAAGAGTTTTGTCAGGCAGGGAGCTGGTGCAAAAATGGTTGCAGAAAAGGCTGCGGACAAAATTGGTGCTCCCCAAAATGGAAATAAAATAATTGATCTGAAAATAAACGACTAATCAAATGGTATGTGTGTGAATATTGAATCTCAAGGTCTCTTTGAAATTTATTTTTTCCTTCTGTTTATTACTTATTTCCAAGAATAAAAGCCTCATTTTGTGATCATGTATAACCCAAATTTTGAGCCAATGAACTATTTCGATGAACCTTTAGCTTCAAAATTGAGGACTCCGCTTGGATAACATGTTTCTTTGGTTCATGAATTTGGCTAGTTTAGGAGTTTCAAATTAGGCACATATCAAATGTGAGTCCTATTAGATGTTCTCCAAACTAGTTGATGAAGCGTGCAACATAAGTATTAACATTCTCTGTCTGCAACTTTAAAGCATAGCTGTAAAAAGCACCATGGAGTACTATGAAATGTCTTTTTAAACTACTTTGTGAAGCTGAAAAAAGCATTTTAAATTTATCTTGATTCACTTGATCTACAGTGTATTTGATCTTGTGTATTAGGCTACATAGGCTCCCTTTTGAACACTTTGATGACCGAATTCGCTTCACTACAGCTTGAGAGTAATTTCTAGAATGGAAAAGCTAAACTTGCATATTCATTTGTTATGTAGCAGTGCTATTGTGGGAAAATTTTAATATATACAAGCATTCTAACACAGCTTTCCTCTTAATAATTTGAGGGCTCTGAAGAAAATGGCTTTTTTGTTGGGGTGAGACTGACGTCCTCTTAACTTCAATTGGGAAGATTTTGCCATCACTAAAAAGCTCATCAGCAGGAGTTAAAAGAATGGTTGCATTCGAATTTGGATGATGATGATTGGAACTGGAGAATTAAGTTTGGGACAACATGCTGGTCAATTTGGACTTGGTGCAATGATCCAGTGTTCAATGGTAGTAGCTTCATAACAGAAAAGGCGGTGAGAATTGCTTCATATAGTACAGATGAAATCAAAAGGAACAAAACCATCCTTAGGTGGAAAAAGGAGAGAGGGAAGCAAAAGGAGTGTCCCAACTACAAAAAACCACTGACGGCTTGGGTCAAGGCTTATTGCAATGGTGCAGTATATAATTTTTCACAAAAGTAGCTGCAGGAGTTATTATGAAAAATGACCAAGGAAGATTTTTGAGTGCTGCTTGTATGCCATTAGGGACATGTTCAATTGGAACTGCAGAAATCAGGGCCATTCTGTTGGCTATGAAAACTAGAGATATGTGTCAACGCGAAATTGTGAAACGCGAAATTTTAATGTTGAATATGTGTTTTCGCGTTTTCAAAGCGCGAGAAAATTAGAAATGTCTACTTCCTAAACCCTAGAAACATTTTCACCCACGGTTTTGGGTTTGAGACACCCTAAAGTCAAGCACCCACTTAAAAAAAAGACTCATTGTGGATCCGGTGGATTCATAGTATCTATATAAAACAGGGTTCTGTTTGGAATATTCAGGTGAAGAAGGATTCAAGCTGGCAATGGAAGCAGCTCATTAAGATCAGGGATCAAATTCGTGATGGTTTTGATGGGAATAACTGAAAGGCTCATAGTCATGGGAAATATACTGTATCTACAGTGTACTATTGGCTGTCTGGTTCAGGTTAGAGATGGGATGCAGCTCAGTACATTTGGACTGGAATGACTATTCCCAAACATGCGTTTATTGCATGGCTGGTGTGGAAGAGGAAATTGTTGACAAAAGATAGGTTGCAACTGATGCACTTTGTTATAGCTGATACCAGTTGTTGTCTGCGTCACCAAGTGGCTGAAACAGTTGACCATCTGTTTTTCCACTGTGCATTTGCCAAGGAGATGCTGCTACTAATCAAAGACTGGCTCAAGTGCAGGAGTATGCATGTTGATGAATCTCGATGGAAGCTGCAGGTTCAGAGGTATTGGAAGGGGAAAAAAGTAAAAAAGGAAGGTCTTCCTAGCTGCTTTCAATGCCTGTTTATATCATTTGTGGGAGGAACGTAATAGAAGAATTTTTTAAGGCAAAGAGAGGAGACCAGTTGATGTGCTAAAGGAGATCCAACTGGAGCTAAAAATCAGGTTCTTATGCCGAAAGCAAGTGTTTGTTTCTGCTGAAGAAAAATGTATCCTTCAGTTGTGGTTTTAGTTAATGTGTTGTCGGTAGCTATATTCTTTTAGTTGAGTATTATGTTTTGTGCTCAAAGCTAGTATAATTATGTAATAGAGGTGGTGCATTAGCAGTTTTGTAGCTTACAGGATGTCAAATGAGCAATAGAAAGTTCACTTTGGTGTTTCTTGTAAATAAATGTTTACCTTTTTCACCAAAAAAAAAAAAACATATAGAGTAGTTTAAATATTTGTCCGCTAGTTTTGAATCCAGAATAGTGATCATGAAAGTGACTTCAGATTATGTGGCCGGTAAGATAAACACTACAAAAGAAGCTCGAATGAGTAATCGACACAATGCAAAATGTGCCTTGTGTTACAACTATATTTGACCAACTAATCCTGCTTAATTTGTCCATATATATACACTACTTAATCCTACTTAGTCCTACATATAAATGACTAACTATAGATATGTATATAATTATTTTTCTTTGTGTTTTTATTTGATGATATAAATTCGTCCTTTTCTTTTCCAGTGATGTTTTTCTTTTCACTAATAACATTTTCAGCATTTTCATTTAGATTTAAATTGCAAATAAATACTTTGCTTGGGATAATCCACTATTCCCTTTTATATAGATTATAAAGTAGTAGGAATTCCGAAAAGAACCACAGTTCCAAACCTAAACTGAAACTGGGACGATTTAAGATGTAAATTAGTCAACACCACCACCAGCAGCAACACCACCACCACCACCGGTCCCAATACCACCCCCACCAGCACCACCACCTCCACCATCGGACTTCATGGCGTCGAGAATGACTGTGAGTGCGACGATGAAAGCGTGGTCGATGTTCGGTTGAATCGTCACCCTGAACTTATCTTTTCCCGAAGAAAAAAATTTTGGCGGAGGCTCGTGAATCTGATAATCAAAATCATTATAATTTCAATTATATTAATCGTTATTTAATTAATAATTATTCCCTCTATTCAAAAAAGAAAAAAAAATAGAGAATACCTAGCTACTCATTATCAAAATCAAAAAGTTCAATGGAAATTCTTTTTTTTAAAAAAAAATAAAAGTTAATTCCACAAATTATGTATACCTCGGCGATAATAGCAGTTTTGGATTCACAAGCATAAACGACATAAGAGTCTTCAAAGCAACGTCTTTTAATCTGGAAATCACAAAGATCTTCGGTGGTGTTGTTTGCCAAATATACTTTCTTTTTCGTTTGGAAAAAAGCAGAAACACTGTTCCTCACACTACATATTAGATGGTTGCCTTCCTCCCTGAACACTTGCCTTCTTCCCGTGCAACTAAATGCCTGCAAACACACCAAAATTTAATACATGACACCAAATCATAATTAATCAAAAGTCCACATTTCCATTTTGGGGCGAAAAGATTATTACTCCCTCTGTTTTAAAACGATTGTCCCGTTTGGATTTTCAGTTTTAATACAATTTACACTAAAAAATAAAAAAATTTAAATCGCATAATTACTTCAGAACAGAAAGAGTATATTAGACTGTTGTTGCCAGACTAGTAGCATATTTTCTGTGACACTTTTATGTTATATTTTGTGTGACACTATCTAGATGATTGACACGTATTTAATTACTTCCCCAAATGGGTTTACTTACCATTTGGTTAGAGTGTTAGCATCAATAATAAAAACACATGTCATTCATTTAACTAGTGTCACACCCAATGTCATACAAAAATGGCACAGAAGACCCGGAACCGTAACATCTCAATTTTAAACTATTTGCCATATTTTCAAAACTCATTCAAAATCAAATTATAAAGCTAAACTTTTGTCCACATTAACAATAAAAATCAATATTAATAATTTCAGTAAAATTTCACCAGAAAAATCAATTAAATAAAAGAGAGATCGACCTTGGGCGGATTGATAGTGAGAATAGGAACTCCGGCAGCATCGAGGATCCTCAGCTTCCTCCTATTAAATCCAAAGGACTGAACTCTAAAGAGGATGTTGTTGTTGCTGACATCAAAGAAGGCTAGCTTTTCCGACCTGGAAACAACCTTCCTTTTCATTGCCAGCTCCACGGGATATGGAGAACAGTACTCCGGGCCGACCAACACCACTCTGCTGCCACCGCCGGCTGCTGATGACGGCTGCGTGTTAGCTGCGAACGACTCCGGCGCCGTGGCCATGCCAACACTATTTGCGATACCTGATGTATCTATATACTCTGTTTGTGCCAAAATCAGTTGAAGAGAATAGTTTAAGTTTACGTTTTTTCGTTTTGTTTTTTCCTATAACAAAATGAATCCTTTATATAAGTAGAGTTTGCATATGTCGCCGCCATATGGAACTAGAAAAGTCAAACTGACGATCATAGAAGATTTGAAACGCAAACTCAACTTTGAAAAATCTAATTTTGGAGCTTTTTTCTTTTTCTTTTTGGGATTATATTAAGATGATCAGGCATATATGATTTAGTAAGTGATAAGCTAGCACTTAACGTAAGTTTCCTTATCTGAGTTCATTCAAATCAGTTGACTATTTCCAAGCATGATGACTTGTTCATTCTTTTTTGTTCAGGTGTACACCAACCAATAAAGCTAAGCCAACCCATTAGTTGTGTTTTGGAATATCATGTACGGTTTGAAATAAATAAATAAAATAACTTCTTGTCAAAAAATCTTTAATATTCGCATTATTTTTAGAATAAATTTTAAAATTTAATATTAGACTATTATTTTAGAACAGATGAAACACATATTAGCAACACTCTATGGACTAAAACTAAACACTTACTAATTATTCAAAAGTTAAAACTAAAATTTGCAGTTCAATAGTTTGTGACTAATCAGAAGAATTTCTCCAAACCTTGGGCTAAAACATGAGTTTTTCCATAAATAAATTGAATGGCTAGCACAAGAAGGCTTTCATATTTTTTTTTTTTAAAAAAAATCCACCCTAGTGAATTCCACTTAAATGTGGGTAAAACTCTCCCTTACAAATTTTTTGACGGGAATCGAATCCTGATCTATTATCAGAAAAGATTGCACCATAACCACTATACTATCTTTCAATTCCCAAGCAAAAGGCTAGGAGAACTTCTTGCCTTCTCGTCATCAAATTAAGGACATGACACTTATTTTGAGTTTTTGGCCAACTAGACTTTTTACCCATGAGTTTGACTACATATAAATGCAGTTAATTAAATCTCACATGTTTTAATAATATACCAGATAGGCATATATTCCTGAACGGCGAAGATTTAAACCTCAATTTTTTAAGAAGAAAAATAGATAAGATTCTCCAATCTTTATTTTATTTTGAGTGACTTGAACTAAACATCTCTGAAAGCAGGGAACACGCGTCTGCTAAGTCTTATGTTGTTAACTTTATTAGTGTCGACCATTCAATTTCTTTATATTCACGTCTCTCACCCTTTTGCTGACTAAGCGGATTTTAGTTATTGTTGTTTAATATTAAATTTTATAAGAGAAAGATAGAAGAAAGTTTTGCTAGCCTGAACATCCATCAATAACTAACATATTTTTTGGGCGGATTGTAATTTTTAAAGAGATTACATAATTCGAATCTGGATTAATTAAGTCTGCATTCATAACTTTTGAGTATGATATTTTAAGGGGGTAAAAAAACTTGCAAAAGAATCGCACATGCACCAATATTCTCATTCAGATCTTCTACTTGAAATTATGAGAGTAAATTAATTAATAGACTAAACAAAATAATGACTGTACATATGTCTACTATATTGCTACGTACGTTTATTGTATTACTAGTGATGTCTGGTCGCGCAATGCGCGACCCTGGCCCAGTCTATCTGTAGATCTTAGAAATGTTTATATTTGAAAAAAATAAAATTTTGTATTTGAAGCGATATATTTTAGAAATGTTTGAAGGATTTAGAAATATTTTATAAGTGTGATCATAGAAATATTTGTATTTCGCAAAAAATAAATAAATTGTATTTCGCCATGTATGTTTTAGAAATGTTTTATAAGTGTTACTTATTAAATATAAATAGCTTAATCGAATATATGTGTTGAAGTAAATGTTAGATAAAATATAAAAGCATCCTAATAAATTTAAATATTAGTAAGATGATTTATTGATGTTCTCCATTGGTCGTGCCAAATCAATACTTAGTTTTGGAGATTTTTAATAACTTTGTAATAAGCTTCATCCAAAGGATATACGCTTAAAACAAAATTGACACTTTGTAACAAAAAACCTAATTGATCAATTCAATTTAAAAAACCACTCTAGTTGAATGAAACATAAAGAAAAAATTGAAAAAAAAAACGTGTCACGTAAAGTGCAAAGGGAGATTTAGTAATTTAGTTATGGTTAGACAAAAGGTCAATTTAGTATTTTTTACATGCCACGTGGCAATCATATGAAGTGTTTGAAAGGGAGGTTTTTGTTTCTAATATAGTAGGATATACTCCATCCGTCCTATAATTATTGTCTAGTATAAATTTTCATTTTAGTTCAAATTGCATTAAAAGTAAAATCTCAAACTGAACAATAATTTTAAGACAGAGGGAGTATATTCCGGATGCCACAATATCTTTTCCATCAACAAATGATTTCGGGCGTGTAAAATTAGCCACTGGCTCCAGCACCACCTCCACCACTACTCCTCGACTTAATAGCGTCGAGAATGACTATGAGTGCAACGATGAAAGCATGGTCAACCTTCGGATGAATCGTCACCATGAACTGGTTATATCCCATAAAGAAACTTCCCGCCGTGTGTTTCTTGTGCATCTGAATGATCAAAATCATCATAATTAAGCTCAATTGTATTAACCCTCACAAAAACATGAATTGTATTTTTTTTATTCTAAACAGTACTCTCTATGTTCTAAAATTATTGTTCGATTTGAATTTTTATTTTTAATTTAATTTTTACTAAAAGAAAAATTCAAAGTAAACAATAATTTTGAGATGAAGGAAGTAATTTAATAGAAAGGACCTTTATTTTGGACAAACGAGGTATATATATATATGATAAAAATCAATGAGTTCGATGGAAAATAAAACCAAATAGTATTGCACCAATTATATATATATACCTGGGCCAAGATAGCATCTTTAGATTCACCAGCATAGACTTCGTAGGGTCCATCAAGAAAACTTCGTTTAAGATGGAAATCGCAAAGTTTTCTGGTAGTATTGTTTGGCAAGTATACTTTCAATTTCGTTCTGAATCCAGAACTCCTCTTCACGCTACAGATAAGATGATCGCTTTCCCCCCTAAACACTTGCCATCTGATACTAAAACCAAACTGCATTCACACCAAATACGTACACCAACACGTCAAAGAGTCGTCGTCGCAATGAACCTATATATACGTTACAACCAATCATATGCGCATTTTCTCTATCCGAATACAGCACCCCTAAAAGGTCCACATCTAATTTTGGAATTTATCCTTCAGAACTCTTTGTGATTTTTTATTTTTATTTTTATTTTTTGGGAAATAGAAGTATTACATTTTAAGAAAATTAAAAAAAAATAAAGATTATAAATAAAAAAATGAAAAAAGAACAATACAACTAAAAAACAAAATGCATACACGTTCCAATAGTGTAATCCAATCATAAATAATTCATCGTTAATCAACCGCGGAAATGCAAAATTATAATTTACGCAAATAAATCTGTGATCCTCAAAGCAAAAACTACAGAAGCCAACTTCCTTTAATTTTGGATGGAATTTGTTATGGCCAAATATAGGGACGAAGAGAATATAAATTAATTAGACCATCGGTGCAAGAATAGTATACGTGTCGTGTCAATTCAATCAAATCATATACTAAAAAATTTTTGTCAACATAAGAATGAAATCCACACATATATGGCAAAATTATAACTTATTAGTTAGCAAATGCAATAATAAGTATTTTGAAATAATTATTCAATTTGAATTTTCATTTCTTATACAAATTATATAAAAAATGAAAATTCAAACACGAGAATCATTTTAGAAGGAAGGACATAACAACGGACAAAGAAAATGAAACAAATATGCAGTGAATTGAAAGGGAGGTTGATAGATCCGACCTTGGGTTTCAGAGTGAGAATAGGAACTCCGGCAGCATCCACGACCCTCAGCTTCCCACTAAAGCTAAAGGGTGATTCGACTCTAAAGAGAAGCTTGTTGTTGCTGACATCTGTGATGTCGAACATTTTCGACATGGAGAAAGCCTTCTTTCTCATATCCAGTTCCACCGTATATGGATAACAGTACTCTGGGCCGACCACCGCAACTCCGGCGCCACCGCTGTCAGCTGAGAATGGCGGCGTATTAGCTGCTGACGACTCCGCCACCGCGGCCATGTATACACTTTTTTTTAGTGAAACGGTTGTTTATTTTCAACTGCGCGCGTCTTATAAACTATAGAGAGAAGTTTGCAGTTTGGACGAATGAATTTTTTGTTAGTATTTATAGATGGCGAGAGTTAAAGTTAATTTGTAGCAAGGTTTCCATGATTTCGATTGGCACTCTGACTGAGTCAAAATGATGGTTAGTAATCAGATTGAGAAGATTTGAAACACAAAACTCAACTTTGAAAAGTCTGATTTGGAACTTTTTTCCTGCTTCCTTAGGACTTAAGATTAATGAATAAAGTTCAGTGCTTGACTTACATTTATCTGAGTTTCTCAGAAATCTATTCAGTTTCGAGCCACGTGTATATTATTATGTAGTAGTTATTATTGTAGTATTTCCTAAAGAAAAACAACCCTGAAGCTGACATCATTGGCTTGATGAACATGTTGCAATTTTCTTTTGTGGCAGAAACAAATAATCCTTCTTTTTTTTTAGGGGAAAAAAAAGATTTTTATGCAATCGTAATAATATAGTAATAGGCACACATAAGTCTCAATGATTTTATTCAATAAAATATATGAAATAACCAACGAAGTTGTGGCAGAGTGATTGAAACTCTTATACCTTTATCATAATTCGTGAGTTCGACTTAGTATGTAAAGACACCTGCAAATATTCAAAATAATTCATATTTTTACTAATTTATAATCATTATATTGTGGTAGTATTGATATATAAATTTAACAAGTGAGCATGAGTACTGGGATAAACTCACGGGCTTCTAAGTCGGTTTAGTTAGCGTATAAAGATCGACCGCTAGTTAATATATAATCAGTTTTATAGCTTGGTTGGTTGTCCCGATTCCATTTTAAGATTGATATATAATTTAAAAAAATAGAATGATATATTGTTATGTACAATGATTTTGTTGAAAATGAAGAATTATTTTGTGCATATATTTATAAACATTAGGAGAAGAGATATCCTTTTTAAAATTTGATTTTGAATGGAGAGATTGTAGGAAGTATGGATTCAATCCTCTTTGAGTTTAGGAATTAAATTTGGATATTAACTTTTTCCTGGGTGCCCTTTTTTTTAACTTGAGTTCAGGTAGGAAAATAAAGATTTCCGCCGTTGTCACCGTATCCTTCTGGCCTTTTAATAAAAGGGGAAATTATCGTATTAAAAACCCTCGCTTTGTCTCTAATTGCAAAAGCACAACCCATAAAGGAAAAAATAAAATAAATTCAACATGCAGATCTTCTTGACCCTATGACCGGCCGCACCTTAACTCTGGAGTTACAGAGTTCCGATACAATAGGAGACGTCAAGGCCAAGATCAGCATCCAGGTGGGCCTCCATCCCGATGACTATTTATTGTGTTTCGCCGGTCAACCATTGAGGGACGTCGGCCCCACGCTCGCTGATTACAATATCCACAACGATTCCTACTGTTCATCTTGTTGTTGGCTTAAGGTGTTGTTTGGCTGAGGTTTGTATATGGATCCTTCACCCTAGTTGCTTTTTTTTTTCAAGTCATTTTTTCTATGTCATAAGCTTACAATGAAGTTTTCACCCAAAAAAAAAAAAAGTTTACAATGAAGTTACGTCCCAAATAATTGGTCAATTCGTGCTAATAACATATAAGTAGGTTATTAGAATTCGAAATCACAAATTACAATGTCACCCTGTTTTTTTTTTTTTTTTTGAATGAATAGAGTATGTTGTTTTAAGATCAATAAAAATGTTTCAATAGATCAAACTTTTTATTATGTTTCAATAAATCATCAAACTTGCTACTTATTATAGTTAATTACTTGTGAAGGCTAGTGATAATACGGGAAGTATCATCACGCGAGTTCAATTGAACCGGGAGAATTACGATCAATGGGCTTGTTCGATGCGGACCGCATTGAGAGCGAGGAAAAAATTCGGGTTTGTTGACGACCCTTGGCCGAGTGATGATGATTCGGCGGATCTCGATTATTGGTGGACTAATAACTCACTCGTGGATAATAAATTCCATCGAGCCCACCATCCGTTCGTCGATCTCAAATTTGGAAGTGGCAGAAGATTTGTGGAATGACATCAAGGAGAGGTTTTCGGTGACCAAAGGTTTCCGAAGTCAACAACTCAAGTCCGAACTGGCTTGAGCATTGTGGCAATTATTACCCCAAACTAAAAAAGCTGTGGTTAGAGCTGGCTACTGATGACCAGTTTCTGAAGAATGGGAAGGATTAATAATTAGGGTTTGTTTTATAGGTATTTTATTCATTTTACAATAGATTGATTAGGGTTTCATTTTGTTGTCTTCTATTTAAACGGCGTAACCGCTTCATTGTAAAGCAGCTTTTGATTATTGAAAAACATTGAGATTTTTCTCAGAAAAATCTAAGGTGTGTTAAATCCCTTAAGTTCCGGATATTCTTAGACTAAACGGTTCTTGAAAAGGTTAATTTCTAAGTGTTCATGCTTCGAATCAATAGCCTTTAACAGTTACGATTATTAGATTTATTTTAGATCGAATTAGAGGCTTCCACCTGCATCACTTTCCGACGTGTCAATTTGGGCTCTAGAAATGCAACCTTGAAGCCCAACTAGTGAAGCGACTGCGGCGTGAAGAAGAAAAAACTCATCAATTCCTTATGGGGCTCGATGAAGCTCTATGTGGAGCAATCCGGTCTAGTATTTTGCACCAGATCTATTGCCGAGTCTGAATCTAGTATATTCTCGACTGGTGCAAGAAGAATGTGTTCGTACAAGAAAGGACCGGTATGGCCAGACGTCTCATCCGAGCCATTAGCAAGCTACTGAATAGATAGTGGTCAGTTAGTATTAAGTATGACCACAGAAAATGTAATTTTGTAGCGAATCTGGCTAGTCTTATTATATGGTTAGTTTGCATTAAGTATGTCCACAGAAAATGTAATTTTGTAGTGAATCCGGCTAGTCTTACTATACTGGATTCCCCTCCATCAGGATCGTGATCACCACATAATATAAGTTTCCTAATTCACTTTTCCTATTCATTTTTAACACTTTCTATATAGGATATAAACATTTAAGTTTTGTACATATTTTGATGAGTAGCATGTATCACTACTCTGCACGTATCACTACTCTAGAATACAATCCAAACATTGAAAATTTGAATGATTATATTTAAATTCTTTACAAATTTATATTCTTGGCTCCAGCTGGCCTCTTTACAAAGGTTGAAGTTTCAAATTTCGTTGGTGCCACATTATTAATGGTCAAATATACACATACATATGGCCTCGTATACTACTATGTAAATAAGAGCTGTTCTAAAATTAATGCTAGAGTACTAATATGAAACTAAGTATAAGAACAAATAGGAGAGACAAGAGAATAGAAAGAGATAAGAGACTTGTATTCAGATATATTTTGAAGTATGAATGAGCTTCTTATTTATACAAGAAGCAGGGGATCAAATTATGTGAAATGAATCACCTATCATTAATGTTAAATATTACAGAATCATATTTCCTTAATTGTGAATAGAATAATACATATTAATGCGTACATTCAATCAATTTAGATTTTTCCATAATACTCCCCCTTTGAATGTCCATCGTTGCAGAACAATGCCTCGTTAAAACCTTACCAGGAAAAACCCTTTGGGATAAAACCCTAGTGAAGGAAAAAGAGTACATTTCTGAATGTGACATTGCTTCATTAAAAAACCTTGTCAGGAAAACCCTGGGACAAAACCTTGATCAAGGGAAAAAGAGTACAGCGCGGTGTTACTCCCCATGTTGAGTACATCACTTGTAATCTTCTTACACATGTCCATATGTTGACCAGGTTCACTATTGTTGAAGTCAATAATAGACAGATCACTTCGATTTCTCTGCAGACGATCATCTTCATATGCTGGTGTAATCTTGAGTGCTTTATAACAACGGAGATCTATAACTAGCATGCTAAAAAGGTATTTATATATATAATCCTCGAAGGCCTTGGGCAATAAACCGATGCTTCTAAGTATTACAATATAGTACTTCAGGACCAAATCGGTTCACATTTTATTCGAGGCCATAAAAAGGATTTTATGCACATCAAGATCATAGTCTAGTGTGCTCAACGGGTGTTAAATATTATGTCAAACTATTTGAACTACTATGACCGATAACGTAATATAAAATAAATGATAAACTACTATGACCGAGATTCTACCCAAAGTCTTTCATTATTCTTGCTTCAGGCAAGTAGCAACCTTTTCAACTTAAACATCTTTTGAACTTCCTTTTTGAAGTCTTAATAACCATGATAAACTCTTCAGGAGTTTTAATGATATTCGGGCTATTCAAACTCTGTAATGAGTTTTATTAATATTTAGCCTTTTCAAATACTTTAAAATTTCAATGCTAACCAAATAGGGAATACACAAATAATTTATGAAAAATTCATATCAATATCTCATAGAAAACACAAACAATCACCTTACAGACAAATGTAACATATCTAGATAAAACATATAAAATCAAGTGCATAAACGGTAATAACCAAAATGTTCAAAAATATGCACCTAAATATTTGTCTAGACACATGAAGATACTATAACTTGCGCAACTCTTTCATATTAATTTCTCAAGAATCAGAACCATGTCCATTATTGAATCCTTCAGGGATTTCATATAAACACGATTTTCAAATGGTAAATATCAAGTATTGTTTCAAGTGATCATTATATTCACTAGACGCATTTTATTTCTTCACTTGTACCCAGATTTAGCAAATAACGGAAGAATGAATATTTTCATCCACCACAAGAGAATTTATCTCTAAATTATTAACATCCGAACTTTGGGAAAACTTTTACAATAGGTCGGTTACTCATCAATCGTTTGCACAATCATCCAACAATATTTACCCGGTGTATTACCTTTCAAAACTTCTATTGCTTCAAGCAATTCCAAAATGTATGTACAACACATATAGGTGTGTATTGCGTCTTTTCATGTATTATGGCAAATAAGTTTAATGTTCGTATCCAATAGAGACTTTTATTTCATGATCCTCATTGTCATTCATTTTACTAACTGCTGCAGCATAAGCAAATTTTATGTTGACATTTTATTGCGGATCGATTCCATCTTTCTTTAGTAATAAGATCTCAACAATCATTAAAGTTTCCAAGTGTTTTTATATTTCTTCTGGAAGTTGATTCATCATAGTGTGAAACTATTCAAATTAAAATATTCTTATGAATTCTAATCACTTGTATTTTCTATCCATAGATTTAAACTTTGTCATTCACGAGGATTTTTATCGTTGGAATCGATAGTTCTACCACTAATCAAATGGACATTTAATTAAAGAATAATGGTAGGTAGTCCTTCAGGGACACATTATCAAATTTTGAGTTTTAACAGCCTTTTATATAAGATATATTTACACATTCGGTCAGGTAAACATCTGGTATTCAACATTATCTCTTGAATTTCAGGTTCATATCATGGAGGATCTGATGAGATAATGATCTTGTCCATTTTATTTGTGAATCGGCTATTTTTACTTCTCCCCCTGATGTTGGGATTACTAACTCGCTAAAATGATGATTAACCAATCGAGCAGTTAATAAATCTCCCTTTTGGAGTAACAAACTCTTCAAACTAATACGATCAATCTATCGTGTAGTTAATCCAACATCAATAATCTCGAACATTGGAGATTCAATATTCAGCATATATTTCTAACATCTTCTGGAGGCTCCATCATTGTGTGCATTGTGGTGGAAAATTATAATATATAAACTGCACATCTAATATTTAAAGATGGATATGTATGGTTTCTGACCGGAAAACCACTATTGGGAAGAATATATGCAATGACTTGTTTGGTCTTATGCATATAATTGGTGTCTTTTGTGTTTCAACACTTTTTCAATTACATACGAGGTAATTACGTTAATGGAACACATGCAATAAACGATTCTACTAGACCGCTTCATTATTGCTCTTATAGACACTCAATATTCAACTTCTACCATTCTGGTATTAAGTCATATACTCACCACAATTGTCAAATCAAAATTCTCGTCAGAAAACATAAAAATCTGCAAGTTACCAATTTAACTCAATAAAATTTCTGCAAGCTTCAGGTTGTAAGCTAACGAGAACCATACATGTGCCTATCTCATCGACACATCGATTGACACTCTAATTAGTTGGAAGAAATTCTTGGTTCTCTAAATTTAAAACACATAATCTTGCTTGTTACATTTTGAAACCATAATGATAATAGTAGTTATGCCAAATTTTTAGATTTTCTCTTCTTGAGAAAACAACGAATTAATTATTCAACTATATCAGATCAATTTCACTGTACGTGAGCATTCACTTTGACTGAGTTTGTCTACTTTATAAGAGTATTTGTTATTCAGTTACTTTAATTCTACCACGAGTGTTCTTACTCTTCTGGAGCATATATATAATCTTATTGAGATATTTAGTAACTGATGCTCTACTAGAGCATTGGTTTTATCCAATTATATATGCTCTTCTGGAACATGTAATCACAACAAAAATTCAATGATTTGTTTCCTTGTGGACTTTCATGCTACAGTTTACAATTGTCGTGTACGATTTTTGTTTCTCTTTCTAACAATTTTCTTGTTAGTGTTTTTCCACTTCTGGTGGATCATAATATTTTTGTCACAACGCATGCATGTGGCTATAATTGCTATGCAGTTGGACTATTTTTGTTCATTGTGCACAGTCCCGATTGTCTTTATTGATCAACTATATTGTTGGCATATTCACTACAGGCATTCACTTCAGGGAATGTAGTTTGGATAAGTCTAATAATTTTCTTAACAAAAGACTCAATAGTACTCAATAGTAGATAAATTGCTATTTCAGGAGCAATTTCTACTTATTCTTATGATTAATCTTCCACTTCGGGTGAAAGATTATATTTTACTTGTGACAAATATAATAGTAGATTTATTGTCTACAACTTATAAATTAAAAAAAAAAAAAACTAGGCTATGATCTGATGTGCATAATATACAACATTAATTCATGCAAGCGGAGGAATAATTCAAAAAAAAAACATTAATTCAAGTAAAGAAAAAAACTAATAAAGGAGTAATGATTCGACAACATTAATTCATGCAAACTGATCTGATAAAAAAAATCAATGAAGCAAAGGCCTAATACGTAAACTGGTAATTTGCACAAGGCCTAATACAAATCGAACCAAACAGAACAGACCGAGAGTATAATAACCACACAAATTTGAATGACTCCAAAAAAATTGATTATACCTCGTTGTCGTCGAGTGGCAGCAAAACTCCGGAAAATTTTCAGTCACAAAAACTAATTATTTACAAGAAGTCAGGCTTTCAGTATTATTACACACCAATTTCAGGCAGTGATATTATAAAACTCTTTGGCTAGAACTTTGTGCTGATAACGTGTTATAAAATTAATGCTAGACTAGTAATATGAAACTAAACATAAAAACAAACAGGAAAGACAAGAGAATAGAGAGAGACTAGAGACTTGTACTCAGATATATTTTGAAGCATGAATGAGCTCCCTATTTATACAAGAAGCAGGGGATCAAACTATGTGAAATGAATCAGCTATCATTAATGCTAAATATTACAGAATCATATCTCTTTAATTGTGAATAGAATAATACATATTAATGTGGGCATTCAATCAAATTAGATTTTTCCATAACAAGAGCATCATTTTTTTTTACATATAATAAGGTTTACTTATACCATTGATAATAGTGAGATAAATATAGATTATAGTGAGCAAAGTTGTCAAAAATTGAGATTATTAATCAACTTCCATTAAACATCAAATATTGACATGCTAGGTCACTAACAAGATGATCATGAGCAACACAACTTTCCAACCTTCCACTTCCTCAAGTAGTACTCAATGATAATTGCTAACCTTCTCATAGTTACTGAACCCTATATATATATATATATGGGAAATTCTACAGTCCAGTTGGTGGTTTTGACTGAACCATTTAGTTAAATTTTATCCAGTAAAAATATAACACATCATATGCTAATATAGGATGAGATGTACTTGAACAAATCCCATATTTTTATCCCTTGCTAATCTTTTTACTTTAACCGTAAAAGTTTTTAGTTTTTGGATTTTTATTTTATTTTATTTTATTTTGAATAATAAGGGACAAGTAAACACAGCCGCCACTCTTATTCTCAATGTTGTTTTTATTTGCAGGATCAAGAATCTAAACATAATCCCCCATTGATGACCTAGATTTTCAGACGCAGCAGCACATCAACTAATTCTTCTCTCAATCAATAGGATGTTCGTCACCACTCACCAGGAAATTAAAACTCAAAACCGGGGCAGCCATTGAAACAAGAAACTGGAAATTAATTTGTTAGATAGAATCCTTTATCCCCCAACAAAAAATCTTTTTGCCTTCCTTCAAATATCATGTGTGAAAAAACATCACCGCTTCCGCTACAACCGATGAACTTATCCAATAAGCCATATGAGGTGTTTTTATTTATTTTTTTCTTTTTTGAAAAGGCATACGAGGTGTTAATCTTTCAAATTTGATTGTAATTTAGTACCATCTTTTTATCCATGTATTTTCAGCTTGAATTTAGTTCAATTGCGACGAAGTTAACCATGATGTACTAAAATTGCAATTGAAATTGATGGCCAAGACTTCTAAGTTGAAGTTTTCTTGAGGCATAGATTACCTCGGTCAATATCCTTACCAAACCAGTGCCCACCACCCTCTGCAATTCATCCCAGTTAAAAGTGAATTTGAGAAAGATCACCATGCACATCACTGAAATCGGATTATATCAACTTTGAAATCTCCACTTGCTCATCCAGTTTCCCATCCAAGTTCTCGGTCCAGATCCTCTGTGACAGAATGGAGGACTGCATTTATGTTGTTGAGAGAGGGAACGGAAAAGAGAAGGGGAAATCGGTTGCCGCTTATCATATAAGTGACTCAATGTGTTGCGGAGTTCTTTCACTTTATGTTGCCTACTTTTAATCTAATGGTGATGATTGTTCTCTTGTTATCCAACGGTTGTTATATTTGACTTAACTATTCAGTCGACTAGACCATAGTCGCTCCATATATATATATATATATATATATATATATATATTCTCCTTTAAACCGCAATTAAGTCCATTCAATCCCAAAATGATGGCTTCATCATTTCCCTTCACTGCTTCTTGCTTTTTCCTCTTTGCATTGGTCATTTTCTCAGAAGGGCAATCTTCAGTACCGGCCCTTTATATATTTGGCGACTCTCTTGTGGACGTGGGTAACAACAATTACATCAACGATTGTATCTTTAAAGCAAATTATCCTCATCATGGTATTGATTACCCCGGCAGAAAACCAACAGGGAGATTTTGCAATGGCAAAAATTCAGCTGATCTTTTAGGTACGGACGTACGTAAAAGATCTTTATACATATATACTTGTACACGTGTTTATTATCCGTAGTGGTTTTTGCATAACATTTTCTCTATCCCAAATAATGATGTTTATAGTTAGCTTCTTGGATTTTAAACAAAGTTATATAATCAGAACTATTACTTTGAGGACGGTGACTACATATGAAGGATTAGACTAGTTATTCCTGCATATATGTGTAGTTTGACAGAATAATATGATATTTAGCTTAGCCATTGCTCGATACACAACTCAAACAAAGCCAATTAGAACCACTGATGGTTGGTCCAGGCTAATTAATTAAGCATTAAGCTATCAATGACAAATCCAAAGAATATGGGAATTGAGTTAGGATAGAGTGAAAATTTTTCCATAAAAAGGAATCCGAATAACCTATATGTGTAAGTTCGGTGATAATGACATCTCCAATTGTTTAGTTACTTTCAAACTTTGGAATATCTAAATGCTCAACTCAACTTAAGCATAACCTCCATTATTTTTACGTTCACAATTTCTCTTTTGCTAATTGCAATTATCAATGACTACGCGTATGCCAAGGTATTTAACAAGTGGCAGTAAATAAAGGCGAGAGAATTAGTTGAGGATTGTAGTAATGAGACTTTGAGTTTGAATATCAGGTGGCACTACAACTATAAAAGGGCGATAGTTGTTGAAATCATTAAGCTAAGTAACATTATTGTTAAGGCTTACATGTTTGCTTATTTTGGCAGCTGAAAAAGTGGGCTTGACGGCATCCCCTCCGCCATATATGTCCAACACGAGTGATCTTTTCCTGGAAGGTGCTAGCTTTGCTTCTGGAGGTTCAGGACTCATCAATTCCACCGGAGGTTTCCTGGTAAGAATAACAACATATTCTATCCGTCCCGAAATTATTATCCAATTTGAATTTCAGTTTTACTTCAAATTATGCTAAAATTGAATTCCCAAACTGGACACTAACTTTGGGACGGCTCTCTCTTCTTATGGAGTATAGCCAAGTGGTAAGGCATCGGTTCTGTTCCGAAAAAAATAATTTGGTGTGTCGTATAATTTAATTGAAAAAAGTAGATTATTTATTTGGGATGGATGGAGTTTTTTTTTTCTTTAAATCATACTAACTTAATATATTTTCTATTTTTATGTTGAGTCTGAGTTTCATCAACAGAGAAAAAAAGAAAATACTAACACTTGTGAGAAATTGTAGAAAACAGCTCAACTTAAGTAGAGAGATTATTGTCTAGATGTGGTATGTGGTAGTTTAGAAAATACGAGACTTAAGACCGGAAAACTTGAGTTGATTCAATGTTTCTGTCATGGTTCTTAATCTGAATCATTTCCACTTCTACAGAGAATGTGTATGTCTTTGAAAGAAGAAGTGGAATATTTCACGGCACTCCATGATCGATTGGTCCAACAGTTTGGCACTACAAGAGCCCAGCAACATCTATCAAAGTCTCCGTTTGTGGTTGTCATCGGCAGCAATGATATTTTCAATTATTTCTACAAAGCCGAAATAAGAGTGGTTAAAACTCCTGATCAGTACATCCATGAAATGATTGCCATTCTCCAAGGAGTCTTGACGGTAAGATAACGATCTTCTGTAACACTTTTTTTTCAATGTGTAACACTTCAAATATTTGACACGCCCTTCTGACAGGAATTACATAATTTGGGAGCTCGCAAGTTCGTTGTGGCTGGGGTAACAATTCTTGGGTGTACTCCAGCACTAAGATTGGAGATCAACAACCAAGAATGCAATGCAGATGTGAATACTATGGTGACCAAATACAACCAAAATCTCGTAACAATGTTAGCAAGATTACAATCCGATTTCAACGACATTAACTATACTTACATTGACACTTTCGCTGTTGTTGAAGGCATCCTTCAGAATCCTACAATTTACGGTAAACAAATAAATAAAATAATCTTTGCCAACTCTCGTTAAAAGGAATTCCCCATTCTGAATGTATTCTGATCTTGTAAATTTTTTCCTAGGTTTTAAGGAGGCGAAATCGGCTTGCTGCGGATCAGGGAAATTGAATGCCGATATGTATTGTACACCTTTTGCGATATTCTGTCGCAACAGAACAGATCACATATTTTGGGACAAAGTACATCCCACTGAAGCAACGGCTAGCATTGTTGTCGATACACTTTACAGTGGTTCACAACCATACGTGAGTCCCATCAATTTGCAACAATTGATTGCTCTCTAAGTTTTGTTCCATTCAACTTTGTAATATTACTGTTCAAAGCCATGATACACACAATCAAATATGGAAGCTTATATATATTGTTGAATTTTCCATCTATGAAAAAATTTTATATATATATACAATAATTTGAGATGTTTGATTGGATAAAGATAGCCCCTTATCAGTCTTAATGATTGGGACACATAAAAAATGCGTATTGGTACAGAGGCTACTTAATTGATACGTCCAGGAAACAGATAATTTTGCCCAACACTTTTCAGGAACACTTAAGTGATTATCAAACAGGGCCAATAGTTTTGCATTTCAACCATCAAGGTAAAATGTGTCAACTAGTATCATGTTAGACCTACTGATGATCTCATGTATAGTGATTATTTAGAATTGTAACTTTGCATAAATCGGTATAATTGGCATTCAGGATTTGAATTTGCTGACAGAGAGTCACAACTAGTTTTTACGGGAGGATGGCAACGGAATAATTATTTTGTTTCTTTTGTATATACTTCCTCCATTCTAAAATACATACCGTTTTAGAGTTCATAAAATGTTTTAAAATATATATCATTTTACAAAATCCAGGTAACTTCTATCCCATTTTTCTAATATTACACTTGTATTGGAAATAAAATAATATTTAAAATGAAATTAAATAGGTTGAGGATGAGTTATATAGATAATAAATAAGGATCATTTTGTATTTCAAATACATTATTTAGTGTTTCATTGGTATTAACAAAATTGCTTGAAAGACATATACTATTTTAGAATAAAAGGGGTATAATCTAGTTAGTGCTTTCAAGAAAAAACAAAAACTACATCAACTTTTCTTTTAAGGATCTTCCCTCTTCCAGATACTTTCCAAGCCGCCAAAACCAATTGTTATCCCTTTCACACATCACCAAAGCAGAACTATAAGGCACACTTTTGTAATCTTGTTTTATTCAATTAACTTCTCTCCTCTTTCCTTTGCTTTTAATCACACAAAACGCGTGCTTCAATCTTCGGAAACAATATATTCATGCCTATAAATTGCGATACTAATTTCACAGGATTCTTTTATTTAAGCATATCCACAATTACACAGAAGCCATTTTCAAATCATAATGGATCATCAGCAGAACGATGACAAGAAGAAAGCGACGAATATTGTTGAAAAGAACAAAGACAAGATGAATGATGAATTCAGTAGAGGAAGAAGATCATCATCATCTTCATCATCAAGATTAACGGCGAAGCGCCTAGTTATGGAGGATGTTGACAAGGTGGCGGAGGATTTCATCAGCAAATTCAGGAATCATCTCAAGTTTGAGAGAGAGGCCTCCTTCAAACGCTTTCAAGAAATGATTAGTAGGGGGTTGTAAATCCTAAGTTTGTAACCCTATGCATTTACTGAAATTTGAATAATCATTGCTATGAACCCTCTTATTGGAATCCATTAATTGTTCGTTGAATATATTTCTTCTTGTTCTATTTTTTTTTAATCAAAAAAGAATTCGCCCTCATGATATTCTCCTTGTGTATCATATATATGGTAGGAAGATATGGAGCGTTTTGTTTTTTTTTTTTAGTTGATATTGCGTTTTGGACAAATTAGAATTATCTTATGAACTTACTAAGCATTAAAAAAAAATGCATTCTCCTCTAAGTAGGACTCGTGTTTCAATATGTGCGTTATGAAATTTTTATTAAGAGACTTTAACTAATATAGGAACAAATCTACCGCTCAAATCAAGTAAAACTTATTCTGGACGTGATTTATGCATCCCTTCTTTCAAACTTCAAGGATTCAAGAGTGGTCATTTGGAAGATGATAGGTTAGTCAAATGAAGATGTGAGTTCAAGTTGGCCACCAACTAGAAATTAAGTTAATGTTGGAAAAACCAAGTTAACAACTTAGCAATGTACTAAAATTCGAGACAACTTGAAGTTGAAACCCACTATCATCATGTGGCCACATTGTGTAAAGTGATTTAGTTAATCTGTCTCAATGTGTCTTTTTAAGAATTAAAAAACTTGCGTAACGTGCAATATTCGATGATGCATGCGTATAGTCAAGTATTTTCGAGTTACGAAACGAGGTCTCCCACAACCGTTAGCAAATCGAGGGGACAGTCCATGGCGAATTCTATAATATATAGTACATACATATATCAAACCATTTGGAATATTGTAGAAATTTTTTCAAAGCACCCGATTTTGGATCTTTGACCAAGAAACATGTAGAAGAGGATTGTACAACGTTGCCTATATACCTTTTCTCATCCTTTTCATCTTTCCTTGTCTTTATACTTAGCTGAGTGCTAAACTTTCCTCCATATCTCCATCCATGGATACAACCCGAAGCAAAAAGCTTCACATTGGTATCCTAGCAAGCCCCGGTATGGGTCACCTCCTCCCGGTTCTAGTCCTCGGAAACCGCCTATCCACCGAATTCAACGTTAAGGTCACAGTACTAGCCATCACCGAGGTTCCGACCGTTCAGAACCTCGGTTTGGAGGCAGAACTTGCCGACTTTGATGTACTTCAAATTCCACCCGTCGACATCTCTCACCTAATCGATGCCAATACTAAATTATCGACACGGATACGCATTATGGTAAGCGAGGCTTTGCCCGGCCTCCGTTCCGCGATTTCCGGGATGAAGGACCTGCCTGAGATCTTGATCTGCGACTTATTCTGCACCAAAGCCTTCCCGGTAGCAAACGAATTTAACATGCGCAAGTACTTGTACGTCGCAACGAATGCATGGTACACTGCCTTGCAAGCCTATACTCCAGTTCTCCATAAACAAATAGATGGTCAGTACGTTGACCATACTCAGCCGCTGAAGATACCCGGGTGCAAATCAGTCCGGCCGGAGGAAGTAAATGATGCGATGCTAGACCGGAACGACCCGAGGTACGAAGGTTACTTGCAGGCGGCAACGGATTTCGGGCTGGCTGATGGAATATTAGTGAACACGTGGGAGGATCTTGAGCCAGTTACACTTGAAGCGTTTAGAGAGAATGAGTCCTTACGTAAGGTACTTTGTGATACGGCGGTTTATCCGATTGGACCGCTTACCAGGCGGCCGCGGGAGTCAGATGGGATCGATGATCGTTCATTGATGATGATGGAGTGGCTGGATAAGCAGCCGAGTGAATCGGTTCTGTTTGTTTCTTTTGGTAGCGGTGGCACTCTGTCAGCTCAACAACTCACCGAATTAGCTTTCGGTTTGGAGCTGAGCCAGCAGAGATTCATTTGGGTGGTCCGTCCCCCGGCTAGAATGGCCAATGGCTCATTCTTCACCGTGACCCAAGGCGACGAACCCTTGGATTACTATTATTTACCACAAGGGTTTTTGACTCGGACCAAGAACACCGGTTGGATCGTACCGGAGTGGGCTGAGCAGGTGGAGATTTTGAGCCATCCATCGGTTGGAGGATTCATTACACATTGTGGTTGGGGGTCAACCTTAGAAAGCATCACTCATGGCGTACCGATGATCGCCTGGCCTCTTTATTCTGAGCAAAAACAAAACGCCACCATGCTGGTGGAGGAGCTAGGCGTAGCGGTACGACCGAAGGTTTTACCGACGAAGAAAGTTGTGGATCGGAAGGAGATTGAGGAAATGGTGAGATTCATAATGGAGTCTGAAGAAGGCATGGTGATTAGGGATAGGGTTAAACAACTCAAAGTTAACGGAGAAGGTGCAATCAGCAAGGGAGGGTCCTCTTACAATTCCATGAATGATTTCCTCAAAGATGCTCACATGAGGCTGATTAAATCACTCTCGGTTTGAAATCCATTTTCACCTAAGAGTAACTTCACTTCCTGCTATTACAATGCAATTGTGAAAAATAACTATTTGAAATTAGACACTCGAGTTTGTTAAGTGGATGTTCATGGATTTTGATGTTCGTTTATCATGTACATATCTAAGAACAATTGAATCCAACGGTGACAATTGTGTTTTGGAAAGGGGTGAAGAAAAAAGAATACTGCGAATTTCTCTTAACCTCACTTTTTTCTTATCATCGTTTTGATAACTTTAACCACTAGAAACTAAAATCTAGAGTGATTAAATGACTCAATTGATTGATTGAGTATAAAACTACAGTACTTGAATTACTATGTCAAAGGTTGTGTTAATTACAATGTTTAATAAATTCAATAGTTATAGATACTTAGATAGAGTTACATATTCCCTCCATCCCGAAATTATTGTCCAGTTTGAATTTTTTACTTTTAAGTAAAAATTGAACTACAAAAGAAAATTCAAAATGAACAATAATTTTGGGATTCAAAATGAACAATAATTTGGAACAGAGGGAATACAATTTATAATCTTTCCTGAAAAATATTAGAAAGGCCTCTCTCAAACTTGAGCTGATTCCTGAATTTGTTTGATGAAATCCTCAGCCAGTTTGTTACCAACTAGCCTCTCATACTCAAACGCTTTACCATTCATCTTGATGTTCTTTTTCTTTTTCTTTTTTCAAATTACGAGGCATATATAGCCTACAACATGACACTAACACCGAGCGAGGATAAACAATCCCGACAGTCTGCAACCATGGTCGCATTTCTCTTGGTGAACACTAGAACTTTTTAATTGGATTGTGGAGTTGCAATATGCATTAAGAGAAGCTAATTTGGTAGCCCGATTGCTTGCAAACAATAAAGGCACAAAGTTTTAATCTTGATGTTCTTGATGAAGGATTGATGGTTATCTTCTTTTTTCCATTGTAATCATCATTACCGTCTTTTTCATAAACACAAGCTTTTTTATTTTCTTGCGTACCATCAACATTGAACTCTTTAGTCTCTAAGATTACAAAGTTGTTTTCGAAAAACATACAAAGTTGTATGTGACATACAGGCCGGTTCAAACAATTTAGGGGCCTAGTGAAAATAAGTAGAAAAAGATTCCCACAAAGATTTAATTAACATGGTACCAAAAGTTATTTAATCACTTAGAGTCTACTTTACTTTTGATATAATATAAACTAGATGCTTGTCCCGGGCGAATGTTCGGGCGGCCATTTGTGCTTGAAGTTAGTTAAATAAAGAAAACAAATTTTTCGGAAAAGAGTAAATATCCTTTAACACAATTATATATATATATATATATATATATATATATATATATATGTAGTGTCTTAACCGAACCGTTGTAGGGAGCTAAGAAATTAGTATGTATTTAAAAAAAAAACGAATGAAGAATATAGCTCAAGCAATTTTCAACATTCACTTCTAGGTTAATATCACAATTTTAGTGTCTTAGGAAAACGTCTCATTTTACAAATAATGTAGTTTCTCAGCCCGGGATTGCCGAACCGGCTAATACTTTATCATGTGCAAGTGAATTTTAAATGATTTTGTACCTTTTGGTTAATATTAATAAGATATATACAATAATCAGTACATAATAAAACCCGAAAGAGATCAAAGACAGAGCAATTGGAATAGCCAAATTAATTATTAACAAAATACCAATTAAAATAGTCTTTGGCGGAAAAATTTTCATTGTGGTGCTAACGCATCACCAGCTTATATGCTGCTTTAATTAAGTACTTTAATTTGTCTTTTTATATAAAATAAAATTTGAGCCCATTAAATATAATTTAACTCAACAATTATTAAATTTATGGGCTTTTTTTCCTTTGGGCCCCTGGTGCCAAGAACCGTTTGAACACCCCTCTGGGCCGCATCACATATCGTTGTTTGTCACGGTATTTCAGATTCTGAAATTATTATACAGTTTAAATTTTTATTTTAAATATGATTCAAAAAATAAATATATTAACCATAATGTTGGTTATTTGCTTTAGTGCTGATTTTATGGAAATAATGGAAGATACCACTGCTGCCGAATTGCCCATATCACGACCAATCGATCTTGAAATGTGTTATATATGACACTTCTTGTGGTGAAGCCGTGAAGGCAATCACTTACTTTGTAAGAAAGAATAGGATTCAAGTTAATAATCATGTAGAAATCTTCAATAAATTCAATGGACTTTTTCTGTCCATTTCATTTCTCAATTTTTTTATGAAACGATGAGATATCTATAGTACTTAATATCAAAGCAGGGTATCAGCTCTACAATTAATTTTTTTTCACCTTTGCACCAGAGTACTATTAAGCTTAGTTGTTAAAAATATAGAGTTATTACTTTTAATGGTAGAAATTAAGTTAAGCAAATTTGATTTAACGCCTTTCATACATTAAAGTCACATTTGTAGATTTGTAAAAAAAAAAAAAAAAAACATCACTCTTAATATAATATAATCCCTAATTTGTCGTCCCGAAAAGTCACTTAGTTTAGTTAATATATTTTTAGTTTCAAATTCAAAAAATTTCGAAATGTTAAAAGTAAGAAAATTTTTCTGAATTTTTTATTGTTTTGGATATATAATGAATTTATTACATTTTTTAAAATATTTATTTTATTATTAAATCGATTTAATGTACCAGCAGAAACATCCAGTTCATGGATTTTATAAAAGGATGGCCTCAATCCTAAGTTCACATAGTCACACTTGTCAAATGAGAACTCGTGATTTGTTTTTCCGAAAAAAAAAATGATTGAATTGCCATATGTCAATGGGAGCAAATGTGAACTCCAACCTGCCGGTTTCTCATACTGATATTCCAACTAATGAATTTTCAAAATTGAACTTATACGGTACATATCCTCTAATCATTGAAATCATTATCATTATATATATATATATATATATATATATATATTAAAGGAAAGAAAGATAATCGACACGTGTCACTAATTGATCATCAAGCATCACTTTTAACTTATTATCATTTTAGCCCTTAAAGTTCTATTTATATGTTATTCTATCTTCAATTTTATCGATTTTACATTTTCAAGGACGATTAATTGTGTCTAATCCCCAAAGTCCCCTTACCTATAAATAAGCCATAGGCATCTAGACATAATTTACGTATTTTTTAATATATTTTTTAATCCAAACATAACATTAGTTAGTGATGACAATTTTTATTATACAACTTTTCAAAATTTTTGTTGTAATATTTTTGGCCAGATCTTACAAATATACATGTCATAAATAATATCAATACCTCTCATTTTGATCTAAAATTGATTAATCAAAAAAATTTACGGTTTTAAGAAATATTAATAACTACATTATTTAATTAATTCCTTTAGAATAAATTTTAACATTGACAAACCCGCTCAAAGCGCGGGACACATACTAGTATTAATAAGTTAATGGTTAGTAATAGTGGTATTTATATAAGGGGGCGGGGATTGTGTGACTGTGACCAATTTGCTCATATTTTAACTACAATCAATTCAGAATCTCAAACTATTAAAAAAAATAAGATCAAAATCTCAGTCATCGGTTGACCTTTTTCAACTATTTTCTTGGAAACTTTTTAATACAAGGAGTCGATGACTAAAGTCTTATTCTAATTCCTGTAAATTTGTTGTGCTTTCAAACAAAAGTTTTCATTATTAAATTGTAGGTCTGCAGCAGGTAGGGCTCTTCTTTTACATAAAACCGATCCGAACCGAACCGTTAGTTTGGATCGGTTCGGAAATGGGGTAACTTTTTTTGGATCATTGTGGTTTGGTTCAGATCGGTTCGAGTTAAATTTTGAGTCTGAACTGAATTGACCCGAAAAGAATCATTTTGTATCTGATGATATCATCAAAATATTACGATGACGTCATCTTGCCAACGCTGGTCATCGATCGCAGGAAAAATCGATTTTCTGGCAATATCGCCGGAATTCTTGGCCGGAAAAATCAATTTGCCGGCGACATCGCCGGAATTTTAGGCCAGAAGTTGTTGCCGACGGCGGTCGGTGGCAGTCAACGTCGGAAACTATTAAAATTGATTATTATTTTTTTATTTAAATTAATTCGGTTCAAATTAAATATTTACTTAACCCGAACCGATCCAAACCATTCCACTCTTTCAAATAATTGATCTGAATCGAATCGAACCGAAACTAAATTTTCGGATCGATTTCGGGTCGGGTCGGTTCGGATCATCGGTTCGACCCGAACCGTATGTCAAAATGACCATCCCTAGCAGCAGGGGGATTTGTAGTTCCCTATGTTTTACACAATCGATGTATCTCTACCTCCAAAAATAAAAATTAGAACATAAATCACAAACGATTCTCTGTTACCATCTCTGAAATCCCCTCCCTTAAAATTTTTCCGCACTTATCTTTAGACTTTGGAAGTTAAGGGGTCAACTTCAGTGGCAAATTATCCAGTATACCCGGGGGCACCGTGCCCCCCTCCTATTTTTTGCACGAGTAGTTCTTATTGTATTTTTCATCAATCTTTCTATGATTTGCAAGGATAGTCCCTGTCATTTTTTCTTTCTCTTTCAAAAAAAAACATCTCCAATCTTTCAACGAGCATATCTCCCAATCCGTGAAGAATTTGTGAACGAATTATACATGAGAATTATAGTACTCGTCGAGATCTATTCAACAAGATCCATTTCGAATATTTTTTTGAGTTTAAAAATGACTAAATTTCTTTGGGCAGAATTAAGTTGGATATCCGGTAAGTTGGATAACCAGTATGCACGAGTTGGATAACCAGTATGAACAAAGTGGATAACTAGTTCAAATAATTTGGATAACCATGTAAATCCATTGGATAACCAGTATTAGCGCATTGGATAATCCAATACAAACCAATGATTGGATAACCAATACAAACGAGTTGGATAACCAACTTAGTTTATTATTTTTTAAAAAAATAATAAAAAAAACCAGGTTGGATAAATAATACTAATTAGTTAGATAAACAGTATTAACATAAATAATCAAGATGGATAACCAACTTATTTTACATTCATATTATTCTTTTCCTTGTATCTAATGATTCGTAAAGAATTATAACATGAATTATATATGAAATTTATAGTACTCGACGAGATCTATCCGATAAGATCCATGTTGAATATTTTTTTTGAACTTTAAATGCATTTAAATTTTACGGGCAGAAATGAAGAAATGCGTTTTTCGTTTTTCTTTGAAAAATGGTTATCCAATCCGTTTGGACTGATTATCCATTATGTTCGTACTTGTTATCCAATCATATGTTTGACATTCACTCTTCAAAAAAAAAAAAAAGATGGATATCCACCTCTATTCTATTCTGTCCGTCAGAATTAAGTCATTTTTAAGTTCGAAAAAATGTTCACTGTGGATTTCGTTGGGTAGATCTCGATGAGTACTATAAATTTCATATATAATTTGTTCACAAATTCTTCACGGATTGGGAGATATGCTCGTTGAAAGATTAGAGTTGGATATGCATGAACACAATTTGGATAACCATGTAAATCCATTGGATAACCAGTATTAGCGCATTGGATAATCAACATGAACACAGTGGATATCCAATTTGAGAAGATGGATAACCAACTTATTTTACATTTATATTGTTATGTTCCTTGTATCTTTTGATCCGTAAAGAATTATAACACGAATTATATATGAAATTTATAGTGCTCGACGAGATCTATCTGATAAGATTGATGTTGAATATTTTTTTGAACTTTAAATGCATTTAAACTTTACGGGCAGAAAATGAAGAAATGTGTTTTTCGTTTTTCTTTGAAAAATGGTTATCCGTTGTGTTCATGCTGATTATCCAACCGGTTTGGAGTGATTATCCATTCGGTTCGTACTTGTTATCCAATCATATGTTTGACATTCACTCTTCAAAAAAAAAAGATGGATAACCACCTCTATTCTGCCCGTCAGAATTAAGTCATTTTTAAGCCCGAAAAAATGTTCACTGTGGATTTCGTTGGATAGATCTCGACGAGTACTATAAATTTCATATATAATTCGTTCACAAATTCTTCACGGATTGGGAGATATGCTCGTTGAAAGATTAGAGTTGGATATGCATGAACACAGTGGATATCCAGTACAAACAAGTTGGATAAGCATGTAAATCCATTGGATAACCAGTATTAGCGCATTGGATAATCAATATGAACACATTGGATATCCAGTTTAAGAAGATGGATAACCAACTTATTTTGACTTAAGAAGTTGGATAACCAAATGGATAAGCAATAGAAACAAAATGGATAACCAGTTTAAACTGATTGGATAATCAGCATGAACACAATGGATAACCAATTTAGAACAAGTTGGTTATCCATCTTGTAAAACTGGATATCCACCCCTATTCTGTCTATCAGAATTAAGTGATTTTTAAGCCCGAAAAAATATTCAATGGATTTTATTGGATAGATCTCGACGAGTACTATAAATTTCATATACAATTCGTTCACAAATTCTTCACGCATTGAGAGATATGATCGTTTAAAGATTAGGGATGGTTTTTTTGGTAGAGAGAGAAAAAAACTCACAGGGACTAAACGTGTAAAATATAGAAAGACTGAGAAAAAAGTACAATAAGGACTAAAAATGTAAAAAATAGGAAGGGGGCACGGTGCCCCCGGGTATACTGGATACAGCCTCACTTCAGTCTATAGGAGAACACTATTAAACGTGGATATGATATTTAAAGAAAATGTCAAACCATATATTTTCATTCTTCTATACGTTCTTTCACACTTATTCGGAACGAAAACAAAAAAAAATTAAATTTGCTTCAATGACAACTGAAACTCACTTTGTTGCAATGACAAACTCATGCCCCCATATTGATTTTTCTTCTTTCTTTCATAATATGTTCAGCAAAGCAATATAACAAAAAACTTATCATATATACTCTATTATCCCGAAATTATATATCTAATTTAAATTTCATTTTTAGTTCAAAATGTGCTCAAGGTGAAAATTCAAACGGAGAATCTTATGATTTGATGAAGAGACTCTCTCCTCCTATCTTGCAGACTTACAGTCTAGTAATTGACACACACACATCTACATATACATATATATATATATATATATTAATATTTTATTTTGAAAATGTACTATATATAACTTGAAATATATACTTGTTTTGTCCAATTTTTATGTACGATTTTTATCAGTATAACAAACTAACTTGGGACAGAGAGGGTACTACAGAAAAATTGTCAAACTAGAGAGATTCACAATAAACTAAGGCACATGACAAACTGGCTAGGAGGAATATGCAGAATCATGTCTCATTTATCCAGCTGCAAGACCGTGATCTTCTACTCGTTCACACTTATTCAGTATTGATTGTTGATAATTTAATACTAGAGTTCATGCACAATCCTTCTATAAAACTCTATGATCTCAATTACTCAAACTCAATCCGGTGGAGATAAGTGAAAGAAGCCATAAACAAATAAGCCATTAACCGATCATTAATGGCTTCTTTCACCTCCTCTCCAGCACTCATAACCGGTTTTTTCTTTCTCTTCTTAGCATTCACTTCCATATTCGGGCAGTCGTCAGTTCCGGCTGTTTATGTTTTCGGCGACTCCCTTGTGGATGTTGGCAACAACAATTACATTGAGGGTTCTATTCTTAAAGCGAATTATCCTTATAATGGCGTTGATTATCCTGGTCGCAAATCAACCGGAAGGTTTTGCAATGGCAAAAACACAGCAGATCTTTTCGGTAAGCATACAGTACTAGTCCATTTCAAATTTGCAATTGTTGCATAGTACTCCGCTTCGTCCCAAAAGGGGGGAAAAAAAAAAAACCTTGTTCAACAAACATGACAATTTTTCTAGAACAAATCACGTATTTAAGCATTAGTTTGGAGCTTAATAATACCACGTTCATGCCATAGAAATAGTCCACAGTGAATTTAAAATAGCTCAACAGAGTGGCTTATTTTTGACAGCGGAAAAAGTGGGATTGATGGCATCCCCTCCACCATATTTGTCCAACACAAGTGATCTTTACCTGAAAGGAGTTAGCTTTGCATCTGGAGGATCGGGACTCTTCAACACCACCGGGGAAGGTTTTCTTGTAAGAAACTGTGAATATAAAACAATAGTCATTTTATTCATTCATAGTCCCTAACATCTTTAATTTTCTCCTATTTTATCAATCATTGATCATTGTTTTTATCCTTTGATGAATCCCTCTTGGTTACAGCGCAAGACACTTTCTTTATCAGAGGAAGTGACACAATACACTACGCTCCAAAGTCGATTAGCGCAACATCTAGGAGTTCAGAGTACACAGCAACATTTATCAAAATCACTCTTCCTGGTGGTGACTGGAAGCAATGACGTTTTCGCTTATTTTCAAAACGAGAACATAAGAAAGGTTAAAAGCCCTGATCAATATATCAATGAAATGATTGCCATCCTTCAAGATCTCATGATGGTAAGTAAAAAAGTAAAAAACATTTTATGCATTCATCCACTGCTAATGAGAATGGCCTAATCTGCCAAGTCCTAATTAAATAAGTTCATGCTTCTTCAGCAACTCCAAAGTTTGGGAGCTCGCAAGTTCGTGGTGCCTGGATTAACAACTCTTGGATGTACTCCAGCACGAAGATTCGAGAGCAACAATGAAGAATGCAATGCAGCGGTGAATGCTATGGCGACCAAGTACAATCAAAATCTTACCAAAATGCTGGCTACATTACAGTCCAATTTCAAGGACAACATCTATTATACTTATATTGACACTTACACTGTACTTTCTGGCATCATTCAGAACCCTGCAACTTATGGTAAACATAACTAAGATCTAACTTTTAAATGGCTTCCTTCCTCCTCATTAATAATGGTATTTGCCATTTCTGATCTTCCCAAAACTTTGCAGGTTTTAAGGAGGCAAAAGCCGCTTGCTGTGGATTAGGTAAATTAAACGCTGCTTTGCCTTGCACACCACTCTCCATATTCTGCCCCAACAGAACAGATCATGTATTTTGGGACAGAGTGCACCCAACTCAAGCAACTGCAAGCATTTTGGTTAATACCCTTTACAGTGGTTCACCACCAGACGTGAGTCCCCTTAATGTACAGCAGCTCATTGCCCTCTAAAATTTGTTATATACAAGTTTGGAATCTTGCTTTTCTCCTTGTGTCTTTGTTTTACTCTACTAATGCCATAACGCTCATGTTCATGGCTTATACACAATGTACCGAATAAATAACATTGCTGAGAGTTGTGTGTTTATTTAACTGATTTAGTTCAAGAAATGCCCTTTGAGGGTGCTATTATAACATCATTGATGTATAATGAAAGAGAAGCTTTGAATGGTATTGAGAGGCAAGCAAGGTCAGTAAACTCAGATATGACTTGAAAGGGTGATAACTTTTGCCAAACAGACCAAATACTGTCATAATTTTATTGTGACTGCTATTTTTTATGTTAGAAGACCCCATCTTTAACACTTATTCACATTAAAAGATGTCAGGATTAGGAACAATAACTTTTAAAAGAGAACAGACTACAAACTCTGTGAATACGATTTCTTCAGTGGGTCGGCCATGATAAAATTGGCATCAGGCGTAATTGAAATGTTCAGCCACAACCAAATTTTGGCTCCAATATCCAGTTGTAGATTAAAGAAAAAAAAATTCGAAGTCAGGGTATAAAGAAACTATGTTTGATGTTCTGGTGGAGATGACTTCATTTGTACCTATGGATACTAATACTCTTATCTAGTAATTAAGGTATAGTGATCAGGCCCTCTGTTAAGTTACAAATTGATTCCAGCAGGAAAGCCGAAGCTCTAGTTTGCATATAAACAACAAATAATCTCAAATTTCGAATCAACTGATATCCATAGTTCTCAAATTCTGCTCTGAAGTTCCAAGTTTTTATAACTTCCATTTGATCATACAAAAGATGGATTAATGTTTCCTACTCGATGATACTAAGTTAATCCACGCTGGTTTAACTTTGTTATATAACTTTCAAAGAATAACAACCCAAAAAAATTCCTTTTAGAGTAGTATGAGCGAAAGGCTATTCTGGCAATCATTAAGCCCAAGAAGGATTGCCTAATTCTAGTTCACAACAAAACAATCACCAGAAAGCAGAAACAATTTCCCTACTGAATGCAAACAAAGAGATTGAAATATATTAATATTTTTTTATTTGAGCTAATATTTTATTTTTATATGGAATATTAGTTTCATTTAAATATTTTTAATCTTTATGTTATGAAGAATAAAATAAATCAGAAAAATAGTGTCTTTACTGCTAAACTATATTATTAAAAAAATTAGCATGCTTATATAAATACAATCATAGGTTACAATTATACAAAGATTAATTTTTACGGTAGAGTTTGAAAATAGATAAATATTTTTTTAAAACTCATATAATAGACTTTTATGGTAATTAAAAGTAATTGAGGGAAATGGAACAAAATAGAGAAAAATAAAATTAAAAAGTGAAAAAAGGATAATTTTGTTATTTTTATATATTTTAGGGGTTATTTTTAAAAATTTTAAAAATTACTGGGGTATTTTTGTAATTAAATTTATTATTTTATTAAAAAACTAACGGAAATTCGTAATTTGGACGGAAAATAGGCCGATTGGATAAAATTGGCAAAAATTTCAAACATTAAGGTAAAATTAGCTAACCAAAAATCTATTGGATATAATTGACGACGAGAGCAAAACTTTAGATAGGAACGACATTTTTTCCTACATTAATTTATCCAACTGTACGTAAGATTACAATAATCTTCCACTCTTTCACACTTATTCAGTATCGAATTTAGAAAATTTAATGCTATAGTTTATGCACAATCCTTTTCCTTTAAAACCCTATGATCTCCGTTACTCAAACTCAATCCCCAAAAAGGTGCATGGTGGAGATCAGTGGAAAAGAAGCCCACAAATAAGATCATTAATGGCTTCTTTCACCTCCTCTCCAGCACTCATTACCGGTTTTTTCTTTCTCTTCTTTGCATTCACTTTCACATTCGGGCAGTCGTCAGTTCCGGCTGTTTATGTTTTCGGTGACTCCCTTGTGGATGTTGGCAACAACAATTACATTGAGGGTTCTATTCTTAAAGCGAATTATCCTTATAATGGCATTGATTACCCTGGTGGTGAATCAACTGGAAGGTTTTGCAATGGCAAAAACACAGCAGATCTTTTAGGTAAGCTTAGAGTACTAGTCTTTTTAATTTCTTTTTTGGGAAAATTTGGATGAAGGACAGTGAAGAGAGTTAAATTAATAAAAAGGGTAAGATTTCAAAATAATTTTTATTAAGGGTAGTAATATATTTGGCAAAAAACATAAAATAAAATTAATTGTGTGCTGACGTAAATACCCTCTTCTTCCCCAAAACGAAATCAAATCCTTCTGAAAATTAATCCTTCGCTGTCAAAGAATATCTCCTGCTACTTTCTATAAAACGATATCACCACCTTTACCATGAGAAAGTCTCCAATGGAATTGATCAATGAAGTTTCACCTATTTAGGTTGAAGGCAAAATTGTTCATAAAGAAGGAGACAGTAATTCTGCACTAGGACATCCTATTGAATTCAAGTCTTAATTTGGATGTCCTAATAGTATGCAAGTATTCATGTCTATACTGTATGATGTTTAAACACAATGAAAGCTACCATGTCTTCGGGATGAACGCCGATTTTTGGCTTATTCCAAGTTTTACTTTTAATCTTTGTTCACTGCTATTTAATAATTTTGGAGCTTGATCAATAAAACCATTTGTAGCATAGAAAAAATAAAATAAAAATCCATTCAATGGAGTTTGGTAGGAAATTGTAGTACAGTTGATATATATATATATATATATATATATATATATTTTCTGATATTGTGCCTAAAAAAGAAGAAAAAAAATAAATGAAGGAAAAAATGTAATCAGAACCAAACTCCTAATGTTGAAACAATCTTATCCCCAAGGTATTGGATTTAATTTTTGGTTAGTAAAATAAATATTAAGGATAACCATGTCAACTATTTTTATTTAATAATTCTTGTCAAATAAATAACTCCCCTTAATAAAAATTATTTTTAAATCATACCCCTTTTATTAATTTAATCATTTCCACTACCCCTCATTCAAATTTTCCTTTTTTTTTTTTTTTGAACTATAGTCCATTCAATTGTTGCATAATACTCCGCAGCGTCACAAAAGAAAAAAGCCATCTTTAATATGCATACTATTTTTTTTTGGGACGAAATGCCTATTTTTAGACATATTTGCATGCATGAATTGATTTGGAGCTTAATAATACCATGTTCATACCATAGAATTAGTCCACTTTAGAAAAAGTTCAAAAGAGCGGCTTATTTATGACAGCGGAAAAAGTGGGATTGATGGCATCCCCTCCACCATATTTGTCCAACACAAGTGATCTTTACCTGAAAGGAGTTAGCTTTGCATCTGGAGGATCGGGACTCTTCAACACCACCGGGGAAGGTTTTCTTGTAAGAAACTATAAAGGAGTCATTTTATTCATTCATAATCTCTAATTATTAACATCTTTAATTTTTTCCTATTTTATCAATCATTATATTGATCATTGTTTTTCACTCCTTTGAATCCCTCTTGGTTATAGCGCAAGACTCTTTCTCTATCAGAACAAGTGAAATATTACACTACGGTCCATGGTCGATTAGCGCAACATCTAGGAGTTCAGGGAACAAAGCAACATTTATCAAAATCACTGTTCCTGGTGGTGACTGGAAGCAATGATGTTTTCGCTTATTTCGAAAACGACGAGATAAGAAAGGTTAAAACCCGTGATCAATATATCAATGAAATGATTGCCATCCTTCAAGATCTCATGATGGTAAGTTAAAAGTATAAACATGTCATGCATTCATCACAGCAAATGAGAATGGCCAAATTCCGCCTGGTCCTGAATAAGTTTTGTGCTTCTTCAGAAACTACAGAGTTTGGGAGCTCGCAAGTTCGTGGTGCCTGGATTAGCAGCTCTTGGATGTACTCCGGCACGAAGATTCGAGAGAAACAATGATGATTGCAATGCAGCAATGAATGTTATGGCAACCAAGTACAATCAAAATCTTACAGAAATGTTGGCTACACTAAAGTTCAATTTCAAGGGCAAAAGCTATTATACTTATATTGACACTTACGCTTTACTTTCTGGAATCATTCAGAACCCTGCAACTTACGGTAAAGGATAACTAACAAATCTAACTTTCTCACCTGGGTTCCTTCCTCCTCATTAATGTAGTATTTGCCATTTCTGATCTTCGCAGAACTGTGCAGGTTTTAGGGAGGCGAAAGCCGCTTGCTGTGGATTAGGTGAATTAAACGCGGATTTGCCTTGCACACCCCTCTCCATATTCTGTCCCAACAGAACAGATCATGTATTCTGGGACAGACTACACCCAACTCAAGCAACTGCAAGTATTGCGGTTGATACGCTTTACAGTGGTTCACCACCAAACGTGATTCCCCTCAATGTGCAGCAGCTCATTGCCCTCTAAAATTTGTTATATACAAGTTTTGAATCTTACTTTTCTCCCATGTTTCTTTGTTTTCCTCTAACAAGAGCCATAATGCTTATGTTCATGGTTTATACACAATGTACCGAATCAATAACATTGCTGAGAGTTGTGTGTTTATTTAACTAATTTAGTTCAAGAAATGCCCTTTGAGGGTGTTAATATAACATCATTGGTGTATAATAAAAAAGAAAGCTTGAACAGTATCGAGAGTGGAAGTTAAAGTAAACTCAGATACGACTTGATATTTTCGTATTCGTCAATTGGTCCAATGGAGGAATTTGCCTAGACAAATATAGGCATTTACATAGAAACTTCAAGCCCTTCTAGGCAAATGGAGGAGTTTACACAATTTAATGATTTGGGCATAGTACAAATGTGTATTCTACACACCTACATCATTGACATGCATCTAGAAAATAGATTCCCACAAACGTCTTCAGCTTTGGTTCGACTAAGAAGTCAAATAAAACAAGCTTCTGCAGATCTGCATTTCAATTATCAATGTGAAAAGTGTCAACTACCAAGTTGGTCCCCTGTGGACAGAGAAGTCCGTGATTATATAGAACTGTAAGTTTGCATTATCTGAAATATCTACATTGTAGATAGGCTTTGGCAACAGAGAGAACCAGCTCATATTCTTAAACGTATCAGACATTCGAAGCCTGCTGCTAGGGAGAATATTACTAACTTCAGAAAGCTTACATTTTGATTGTTGGATCAGCAAAGTGAAAGCATAAGAGATGTTCTGACCAGCAAATCATTCTCTCGGTATGAATTATGACTAGTTAACTCAGGTTTTCTGCCCAGCCACAAACATTCTCCACATTTTACCGCATGCAGACATATCTTATAGTATAGTATAGGTGCAGCTTTTGCATTAGTTGAAGACCTAAAAGGGTGATAACTTTTGTGAAACAGACCAAATACTGTCATAATGTTATTGTGAATCTGCTATTTTTGATCTTAGAAGAACCCATCTCTAACACGTATTCACAATAAAAGATGTCAGGATTGGAAACAATAAGTAACTTTTAAAAGAGAACAGACTACAAACTCGATATGATTTCTTCAGTGGGTCAGCCATGACAAATTGGCATCACGGTCAGTTGAATGTTCAGCCCACAACTAAATTTTGACTCTTAACATCCAGAATTGCAGATAAGCCAGGGGATAAAGAAACTATGTTTGATGTTCTGGTGGTGATGACTTCATTTGTACCTATGGATACTAATACTCTATCTAGTAAGGCATAGTGATCAGGCTCTGTTAAGTTACAAATTGATTCCAGCAGGAAAGCAGAAGCTCTAGTTTGCATATATAGACAACAAATAATCTCAAATTCCATATCAACTGATATCCTTAGTTCTCAAATTCTGTCTGAAGTTCCAAGTTTTTCTAACTTCCATTTGATCACACATTCAAGCAAGGAAAAACGTTTGATAACTAGAATGTTTCTGCATGCATCAGAATTCAAAAACATTCACAAAGCCTTACAAAAGATGGACTCATGTTTCCTAATGGATGATCCTAAGTTAAGCTCCCTTCAAAAAGGTGACTAACCACCAAAAGAATCCACACTGGTTTAACCTTGTTGTGTAACTTTCAAAGGATAACAACCCAAGAAAAATTCCTTTTAGAGTATTATGAACAAAAAGGCTATTCTACCAATCATGAAGCCCAAAAGGATTGCCTAATTCTAGTTCACAACAAAACAAACTATTACCAAAAAGCAGAAACAATTTCCCTACTGAATGCAAACAAACAGACTGTCAGACTGATCAAAGAAATTATATCTTTCTGGAAGAAGACAGACAATATCCAAATGATCCAAACAATATAATACACCGTTAGATACTCTACCAAATCAGAATCCAACTTCATAAACCTCTGAAAAAGAGAGAAAAAAAAAAAGAGGATAGTTTACCTCTCACTCTGATGCCAAGAGAGAATCTTGTAACTTTTTGTCCAAACAAGTTGGAATAATTTGGAAATCATCAACAGGCAATTTCTGAGACAAAAAACCCACATGAAACTCAATCATGTTATCCACCTCATCAACATCCATCCCAGTAACAGGAACCCATATGAAAAACCTCCTAGCATGAATCCCAGAAACATCAGAAACTTTCCCAAAATACAATTTCCCAGTAATAGTGGTATCATACAGAACCAGCTGATCCTTGAACTGAACATAACATTGGTGAGTGAGTTCAATTTTGAAGCTGCTGTCCACTGAGGACAGGGAATATGACTTCACGTTATCGGGAAGAAGACCCTTTGGAAGATTGTACTTGGGGAAGAGGTCATGAACGTCTGTGAGTGCTGAGGCTTCATGGCTGATTGATAGAGGAATCAAGTAAAGAGAAATGAAGAGTAAAAATTGAATCTTTGGAGAGAACGCCATGGCCATTGTTGTTGAAATCCTTTCTGGTGGTTTTGATTGATGTACAAACGTTGGAACAAATTAATAAGAGTACTTAAAGTAAACTTTGTGATGATGAGCTGTTTGTTTTGGATGGTTGACTAGAAAATTATTGGAAAATTATGGGTGGAGAAGGGAAGAAAATCAAGAAGAGATTTTTATATCGGTTACGTGTTGGAGATATGCTTTTATTGGTGGTTTATCTGAAGTCTAACCACGGGAAGAACAAATATTTAAGTGTCACACTTCAAATGAGATTAATACAACATTTTCTTAGTATTCTCTTTTAACGTTGTATAAGGAATCCATTGCAAATTACACCATAGAAATTGACTATTACACTTTAATGGCTAATGCCCTTGTGCCATTTGTAAATATGCAATTTGTTGATTGAGAAATTTCCAAATTAGACTTGAAGTTTCATGTGGTGTAATCAAATTACATCAAAGCTAGCTGTTTCCTTCGGACAAAAATTGATGCGCCAACCAATTGCACATCAATTGAATGTTTGTTAGCAGAAAGAAGCTTCATTATCTGTCCTGATCTTTATTCGTGGTTTTGTTGCTTTTCTTCATGTCTATTCCCCGGATAAGTGAGCTTCCAATCCCTTCTTTTAGCTTTGGGGGAAGCTTCCTCCAAGCAATTTGACATTTATGGAATAACAAAGATGAAAATTATGCAGCTAAGCCACTTGCTCTGTTTCATGAACCATTTCTTTCACAGGATGGTGTTTATACTTGCAGGGAGAGAACGATTAATAGGAAAACACCCTATGCAACTTATAGAGATGATAATATCATACTCTCAACCTCCTCAGGTTAAGTCCAATGATCAACAATAACACGGGCAAAGGCAACTGTTCGCCCTACTCCAATGAATAGTACAAACCTATCATCATTTAAGCTAGCTACCAAGACAATTGAGATTATGCGAGCGAAAATTCGTAAAAGGACGACAAACTTGAACTTGAATGGTAATAAGAATTCAGATAATAGCAGGATATGGTATTACACATTCCGGACACTTCTGTGGGAGGAACTTGATAAAAGTACACAATGTTTTCGTTTCTTTTACCTTACCGAGTACCAAGAAGGTTTCAGCCCTGATATATATTTACACAGAAACTGGCTTCCCTTATCAGTCTATCAGATAACAGAATTTCCAGCTAAGATGTTCTCAAGTGGGTAAAGGAAAGGGATGACTCCTCCATATGCTTCTTGCTCAGGTATCTTCAACCAGTTACTCAGTCATGAGAAGTTGAACATCATCTGTTGGCGTTGGCAGCTTCGATACATTCAAAAATGAAAAGAACAGAGAACCAATCAGTCCAGAGCAAGGGGGAGAAAACAAATGTTTCACAAATTATGGAGCTACAAAGAACAACAAATCCAAACAAGAAAACTGTCCCACTACGATAAATTATGTTCAGCATGAAACGCCAAGGAAAAAAAAAAAGATGAGAAATGATATGAGCAGGATAGATGCAAGGAGCAATGCATACAATTTTGACTAATTGTGAGAAGAAAATGTACGTCAAAGGCATAGATCTTGCCAAATTCAAAGAGATAATCACTTAACCACAATCACCACCAAGAACCAAGTTTAAATAGATGAACAGAAAACCAGTTCAAGCGAGACAACTAAAAGATCAACAATAAGCTTAAGCTGCTTCTCACTTTGGACTAAAAGTAAATAGAACTTTGAGAAAGTTTTTCATCATCAAAAGATAAAGAGACAAACAACCAGCCACAGTAGATAAAACCCAAGCGAGCACAACAAAATGAAGGGACACAATAATTAGTTTCTTTGGACCATTGTTTATGTTGAAGGCAAATAAAATACAACGGATTTTTTTAAAAGAAAAGTCATCCTAGTGGTTTGGAGGAAGTCACAAACCCGATCCTCCTACTAATCAATGCCTGTTATCAATTTACTCAACAGGAAGATCATCGAAGATTGGTAAGCTTCCGCAGCAAGTTGGATAGATTACACAAAAAGGTCAAGCCACCTATAGTAGAAAAGTTTTGCAAGCAATAGAATATTGACATAACAACCCACGTCAGAAGAAGGATCCAAGCAAAGTGAGCTAATACAGCCAAGCAAAGTGAACTCCTGATGAACAATTTAAAATCAGGAGCCAAGCAAAGTGAGCAATGACTCCATTCCAAATTCAAATTTTATTTCCGTCCTTAAAATAGAAACATAAATAGTAACAGACTTTGTTCCACATCTTTCCACACGGAATTCATTGTCACTATCTCCGATCCACCTCTCTTCCCCATGGCTTACTCACCATTTCTCCTCTGCTAAAGAACTTATAGAAAATTTACTGTCAGCAAACCTCCTTAATCAGTATAGTAGCAAACTGAAGTTACACAGAGACCATATTTACATGACTTTAAACAACACAAGCCAAGTCACCATCAATATAAATTAAGCAGCAATTCAGAACTACCAAAAACATGTTTGTACTCTCTTCTTATCCAGCAAAGAAAGAAACAAATACTTTATGAAAACATAGTTGTTCATGTGGCTATAATTGCATCCAATTGATTTCATTCGTTACTGTAGCTAATGAATAGAGAAAATGGTCACAAAAGTTCATGACCGCAATTTGACCATCCACTTCAGCAGATTTATGCACAGCACAAATGATTTATGAATGTGTCCTTTCGGTTAATCTCTTCGTATGTGTTTCCTGTAGTGAAACTCCAGACAGCTCAGGCCATCAATTTCCATTATGAATGAACATAATAAAGCAACTGTAGCACAAATTGTTATCGGAAGAATATAAAGGTCTAAGAAGACGACAAGCTCAGTTTGGCAAGTGGAGCTCAACAAGGTATTCAGGGGTCCCACTAAGATGGTGTCCTAGTTGGGTTTTATTTCATTTGTCTCTGTTAAAATGAGTTGTGCTTTTTGATAGGAAAGAGTCTTTTTTGTTTCCTAGACAGAACAATTTGAACTGAACTGCCCCTTTCCAAGAATGACCATCTCCTCTTGAAAACATCAGAATTACCAAAACGGAACAAACGGCAGCAGAAAAAGTCAAAACTTGATTTATAAAAAAAAAACACTTTCTAAAATGGCAAAAAGTTAGCAATAGATAAACAATATGCTCATCCATGAACATCATATCTGGTCATATCTACAACTTGGTAGTTTTAAATTAATTCCTTTGCCGAACAGAATAAAGTATCACAATCAGGGATTGAATCAGCTTGTATGCATCTGTTGAGTGCTCATCCATCCATGTGCCATGAAAATCAAAGCACAAGAATAGCATTTCTTCACCCCAGAGCCATCATATCAAGAAAATGGACTCATTACTCTTGTCCTATTGAACTCTTTTACTCCAGAAAATTCAGATTTAGATAACCATCTCATGTTCAAGAATCTAAACAAAATGAATTCTTGTGTGTTAGACAAATGGAACAAACATGGGAGAAAAATGAAAATTATCCTGCAGTAAACATAGAACAGAATCTCTTTCAAAAACCTTCCCCTTTTGGCTAAGTCAAGGATTATAACCTAGTCAATTTGGGTTGGACCCAAATTAAGGGTAAGGTTTCCCAACAACAGTTTTCTGTATTCATAGAGCCTGCGAGTTGCTTAAAGTGCACCAGGCTTCTTACTATTTGGTTTCATTAAGTCTTGGATCTTCAAAGGCATTCACATATCTACGGAACCGAGTAAAAAGTACTTTTGGCGATACCAGAAAAGATAAAGTTATTTCCAAGTAAAAACTCTTATCATGCCTGAGAGCTTAATTATTTTGTAGGTGCTTAACAAGAGTGCTCAAATGCTACACTCAGAAGGTGAATATCAGCAACAGCAGAAGAGGATACTAGCAAACACTTTCTATTCGACTTTCAGATTTCAACAAACCACTATTTGTATTACAGAAGATATGAACAGTAAGTCATCAATGCAAGGATGGGAAGTGGTACACAAAGTTTATGGTGGTTCAGGCTTAACTCTTAAGACATGAGGCCAACACAGTTCCATTTTTCTGCTTAGTGCAACCAAAGGTCCAGAGTTAAACGTAATTTCCAGAGGCAATGATTCTGTTTCTGGTGATCGAAAACTTCAACCCATAAGACTTTTCTAAAACATAGTTAAAGAACTTATCAATTGGTTAGAACTACGAATTCAAAAAATTTTGCTCTGGTAATTAAGATGCCACCTAGTTTTCACAATCCTTAAAATTTCAATCATAAACTGAAGGACCACATAACGAAACTCGAATACAACATGCAATTCCGTCCAACGTCCCAGAACCGCCGTCTGGACCACATTATGCGCATACCACATAAATGCATTCAAAATCATTCTTTATTTTTTTCCTGGAACTAATAACAGAAAGTACTCAACCTATCGATATTCCAGAAGATGTAAGTTGAAACATAAAACTCACACTAGTTGACAAAGCACATAAAAGTGAATATCCATTTGAAGTTGACAAACTTCTCATGCGCCAATTATCAAGTGAAGCAATATGTCATATCTACAGGTGATAACATATCAGCAACTAACAACCTAAAGAGGTGGTTCAACAACCATCACCTGAAATTAAATGTTTATGCAAACTAAACTGACCCTAAAACAAACAACTCACAAACTCCAATATAGCAAGCCAAACCAAAGACGATGAGTCTTCATGCAAAATGCATTGAATTAAGAGGAAAATAAATTCTACTTATAAACTTCCACGACAAAATCAAATCTTTATCATCAATCAAGTGGCAAAGAGAAACCATTAAACTTCATTGTTAACAAGAAAATAAGAAAGTCAACAAGCTTAAGCAGCGCAACGGAAAAGCCATACCTCAAAACCACTCCTCAAGGAACCACCACAGAAGCCCAGAGCCTTGTCACTGCAAGAATGAACCGTCTGAAACTGGTCCACATCAAGCTTCTTGTTGATAATTCCAACAGTGAAATAAATACTATCAGAAGGAGGCAAATCAACTTTAATCTCGTCAACATCAAACCAGAAAAACAATCTCTGGACTTGAATCCCTTTCAAGTCGGTTATAGACCCAATACTCAACTTCCCATTAATTTTCTTTTCGTAATATACCAGGTAATCAAAATGGATGTAACAAGGCTTCTCCAGAAGAACTTCAAAGGTTCCATCATCAGAAAGGGTGTAAGATTTTACAGAGTCCGGTAATAACCCACTTGGGAGCCCATATTTTGGGAGGATTTCGTATACTGTTGGATTAGGATCTCCTCCATTAACAGATGAAAGAATAAACAGAATCAATGATGAAAGAAGGAAAAAAAGATGAAATCTTTTTGGAATCAAACCCATGATTCTGGTTGGTTTCTTTTTCTTTTGTTTGGTTTCGTGTACTCAAACTGGTGGATTGTTTCTTCCAACTCTACTAGAAGAATGATTTTCAGATGGGTTTTACCGTTGTTTATATATAGGACAATTTCTTCCCCATCTGAAAACAACCCCTTTAGCCGCCTTACCTGAAAATAAATCTGTACAATTTTCCACACCAACAGAATATCATCAAAAAAAAAGGGAAATTATTGTGATCCTATAACTATTTGTTAAAAAAAATTTATTTTCATTAAAAAATAAATATAAAAATTTATAGGAAAAAATAACATAAATAGAGGGACAAGAATATAGAAAGTATTTAAAAATATTTTTCCTATAAGATAAGATCAAGATTAAATAATACATAGGTTCCAAATGAATTAAGCTATCCTTTGCAAAAGTTAATAGAAAATAGGGGGAAAAAAAAAAAGGTTGACTAAAAAGACTATTATTTTCTAAAGACATTGTGATTGACTTGAATATTGACCATCAAAACCAACTCCTTTATTTTTGCTAAACTTTTTTTCTTGACATTTTCACTAAGCAAATTGATAATACGGATACTTTTTGTTTTTTAAAATTTTGGAATCATATAATTAGAAAACGAAATTATAAATCAGAAATGGATGTAGGTGAGATAAACATATGGTCCAACCAGCTTGTCAACTAATGAAAACCAAGGCTATACTTTGGTTAATTTGGTATACAACTTTTAGCCTATTAGTATGTTTTACACATACTTGTAATCTTGCATAATAGGAAAAAGAGTTTAATTGAATATAAATCAGCAGGCAATCTATTCTCTCAAAAAAACCATCATTCAAATAATGCCAACATATTTGGACTTGGTTTCTATCAACTCTTGATTAATTTTAAGAATCCAAGAAGTACTGTAATGACGAGATGGATATTATAGTTTGCTTGAAATAATAGTCGTGACACTATTTTAGTTAATATCTGTAAAGTTTTAGGGGTATTAATTTTAAATAAAAATATAAGTTCATTGTGTGTTTAATATTGAATTCCTAATAAACCACCTTAAGTAGAGGATTTAGAGTTCTCTCCATGTCACATTTTTCCAATGAACACTAGAAAATTAACCTAGAATCTCCCTTGAAACTATCAATTTTCTTGAGCAACATACCCATGATTCACAATTTATTCAAACAAGTCAAGGCAAAGTTTTACTATCCAACAGATACTTCATGTAATCTTTTTCAATTATTTGTAAGGAATTATTTATAGATTATGATCTAGCAACAAATGGAATCCAAAGTATGACATAGAGGTGACATTCATAATCATTACAATTATTTGTTTATTCCAAGTATCAATAGCTCTGCGACAAGTTTGAGGTATGAATAAATAAAGTAGAAGTAATACCATTGACAATTTTAGAATTTTCAAGAAAATATGTAAATCATCATGTGAGCAGTTTTGATCTAATGACTTATGACTCGTAGAAAAGTTCTGTTGAAATATAAAAACTATACTATACGAGGTCTTGTAACTATTTATTGAAATATCTTGAAAAAACATTACAATGAATAAATACATTTATTACATGACTCGTATCTGTATTATTTAAAATAATAATTTCGTATATTAGATTGTACACGATGAAAGTCAGAGAGGTGTGAGAAAAATAAAAATATATTCACAGTAAGGACAGAAATAGTTGAAGAAATTTTAATGGAAAATTTCAAGACAATGCAACTAAAATATAGAGAGAAAAAACCATAAGTCATTTTCTAGTCGTGTTACCAAATCTTCGAGTAATCAGTCTATAATCACGCAAATTAATATCTCCGTCCCAAATAGAAAAGTCTTTTTTACTATTTTTTTTTCTTTTTTTACTATTTTTTCTTTTTTTAAAAAAAAAGAAGAAGAAAGAAGGATGGACGGTAAAGACGTAAAGCAACAGTAGCCGCAATAGAGAAGACATAAAAACGTACGGCACAAATACTCCAAAAATCTCATCATCGCTCTTCCAAATTTTTCTTCTTCTTAACCCTTTGTTTTTCCCTTTCATTCAGTATCAAATCAAAAGAAACCAAAGGAGAAAAAGAGAAAATAAAAAAAAAAAAAAAAAAAAAAGTGAGGCGCAAACGAAGACAAATAGAAGTAGCAAACAGCACCAACCATCCACCAACAAAAACTTCTTTCTTACAGGCAAACACACAAACACAAGCAAGGCAATACGCACAATCGGAGAGAAACAAGCCCCCACCCACACAGAGATAGAAGAAAAAGGTAGGTAAAAAAAAAGGGGGAAGATTAATGAGATATTTTCTTAGTTGCTGTTTGATTTTTGAATTTTTTAGTTTCTTTGCGTAACTTGGTTCGCCACCTCCGATCGTTTCGATTAGGGTTTCTGCATTTCCGCTGTGTTCCTCTTTTCTGCTCCTATTTGTAAATCCCTCTTTCCCCTTTGATCTTACTTTTTGTTTATGTTGGGTTTTATTTGTTCATTTTTTGTTGGGAGTTAAAGTGATGTATGTGCTTTTTGCCGTATGGTAAATTGTGTGTTCTGTTTTTTATTCTGGGTTTTTTAGGGATGAATTCGGCATGCATTTGGTTTTCCTCGCTGACCCACTTGGGCTAATTTCCCGATTTTTGCTTGCTTTGGGTATATGCGTGTGTGCGTGTAGCTGGGGTGTGGGAAGTGTTTTCCGCCAGATAGGAAATTTTCTTTTTGGCACAAATTGTGTGGATTTGAGTTTCTTTATTCTATCACTTTGTTTTTGGCTTGAAGCGGACTCTCATCTGTTCCCGTTTGTTGGTTTCCGTGAATGGATTAAAGGTACTTTTTTTTTTTCATTTTTTTTTTGCGCTTTTAGCTGATGCTTTGTGTAAATGATGATTGCAGAGGCTATTTTTAAGTGACGCATTTGGAGGAAAATTTGTTTTGAGGATTGGATTTCCATTTGATAACGACGATAAATCCTTGGATTTTGGGCTTGTGGGATTCTGGTTCGCTTACAGAATTTCAGAGTGTTTTCTTACTTTTGGGAAAGAAGAACATTTGATTTTAAGGTGTGAAATTTCCGTGGATTTTCCAATTGGAAAAAGAGGTGATTTGACATCTGGGTGTTTTGTTTGACTATGCCAACTTCATGGGCTGATTCAGTTGCAGCTGAGGCCTCAGCTGCTGGTAGCGGTGTTGGTTCTGCTAACAACGGTGCGATTGGAACTAATTCTGGTTCAAACAGGTCAGCGTACGTGCCACCTCATCTTAGGAATAGGCCTTCTTCAGCAACCCAACCACCTCCAGTTTCATATGCTGGCCCCGTTTCTTCTGCTAATGATCGAGTCCCAGGGCAAGGTGAAACTTTCCAAGGAGTGAATCGTTGGGCTGGTCCAAGGGTAGGTGGTGGGATTAGTACTGGGGGTGGTCGTGGTACTGGTGGGGGTTGGAACAACAGTAGAAGTAATTGGGGGCGGCCTAGAGAACGGGAGGTCAACCCTTTTGAAGATGATGACAATTCTGAGCAGGTGTTTGGTGATCAGGAAAATACTGGGATTAATTTTGATGCATATGAAGATATTCCAGTGGAGACTAGTGGGGACAATGTGCCCCCTCCTGTGAATACTTTTGCTGAGATTGATTTGGGTGATGCTCTGAATGAAAATATTAGAAGATGCAAGTATGTGAAGCCTACTCCTGTTCAGCGACATGCAATCCCTATCTCACTGGCAGGGCGAGATTTAATGGCCTGTGCACAAACTGGGTCAGGCAAGACAGCGGCTTTCTGCTTTCCAATTATTAGCGGAATCATGAGAGGCCAACATGGGCAGAGACCCCCTCGTGTGCCTCGGATGGCATTTCCGCTTGCTCTGATTCTTTCTCCGACACGGGAGCTCTCATGCCAAGTTAGATTCTCGACACTTTTAACTATTTGGATGTTTATCTTTCTTTTCTTATGCTGAATTTTTAAAATTTATGTGCAGATCCATGATGAAGCTAAGAAGTTCTCCTACCAAACTGGGGTGAGAGTGGTGGTTGCTTATGGTGGAGCGCCCATCAACCAACAGGTCTCAATATGCTTTTCTGTGCTTGCAACATTAACATCTCTGTGTTAACTAATACCTTTGTGTTAGAACTTGACAGTGAGATACATTTCATCAAAATTTTCAAGTTGAATGATTCTGTAACGTGGCTTCCTTTGTCATATGTTCTTTATTTTGATCTGATTGAATGTAGGTTGGCTATCTTGATACATTATAATTGCATGTTTTATCCAGTATGAATTTGAATCAGTTGACTGGATAAGTCAAATAGATTTCATTATACAGGTGGTGCATTTTGATCTAGTTCTTCTACCGAGATACTCATTCCTTAATTGGAGACAAGAATTTTTTATGCAGGAAACTAATAAATATCATGCTATAGCTATTTTTGTCCGTTATGGTTGATTTATTTTCTCTAGTTATGTGCATCTGAGTACCTGCTTTTCTTCAGATGTGATGGGAGAATTTCTGCTTCTTGTTGTGTTTGGCTTCAGACAATTTTGTGTTGTAAATAAGCTTTTGCATCCTCCAATGAAGAGAGCTCTTCAGACTATCGGGAATTCATTTTAATTTTTTTTAGACATTTTGATGAAACAGAAATCATGAAATATTCTTTGGCCCTTTCCTGCTCTTCCCAATACTACAATCTTTCCCTTCTATCCCTCTTAAGACTTGCGGGTGGGTGATGGAGTTCTTAAGTTTTGGTCTTTTTTTCCTGGGTAGATATGGGGATGGGTTAAGTGGCGGTTACTGGTGCAGTATATAGTAGTGGAGAGACCATAAATCATGTTTTATTTTTATGGTTCTGTGTTTTTTCTGTGATTTATCAGTAAAGGTACTTCAAATTTATTTATTTAAGAATTAGGTTAAATTAGACATGAATTTGGCTTCAGTTCAATTGCTTTTTAATTTTTTACTTGAGAACTGAAGGAAAATGTTTCAGTTGATTTGTTTATCACGGTTCTATGTTTCACACAATGTCATCCTTTTAATCTATTTGATTTTCTAAGTTTGTTTACAAGCTTGAGTTTGATGATTGCCATTGGTCTACGAGCTTGAGTTTGATTAGTTTGTTTTGTTTGATATGATTTGAACAGCTTAGAGATCTTGAGAGAGGTGTGGATATACTTGTTGCAACCCCTGGACGGTTGGTAGATTTGTTAGAAAGAGCAAGAGTCTCATTGCAGTTAATCAGGTATTTAGCTTTGGATGAGGCTGATAGGATGTTGGATATGGGTTTCGAGCCTCAGATAAGGAAGATTGTCCAACAGATGGACATGCCTCCTCCTGGTGTTAGACAAACAATGCTATTCAGTGCTACGTTTCCCAAAGAAATACAGGTTAGTTTCCATTTCTGAAACATACCATCTCCATTGTTTCATTTCTTTCTTTCTAATTATAATCATCTTGGCCAAACTATCTACAGTAAATAGTTGAGATTGAAGATTTATTATGTGTAGCATGGTGAATGTTCTGTGGATATGTTAAGAAAGTTACTATTTGTTTGTGGTTACTGGAAAATGCTTGCTTAATAATTTCTTCCAGGCTTCACAGAGTGGTTAAATTTTCTTGAATGCCGTATTCTTTTCTGTTGCCTTGTGTGTGCTTCCTATCTTATCCCATCCCAATTGGGGGACCTTTTCCATTTGAATCTGGAGTATTGATTTGTTTTCTTCTTATTCTATGCAGCGGTTAGCAGCAGATTTCCTGTCAAATTATATTTTTTTGGCTGTTGGAAGAGTTGGTTCAAGTACGGATTTGATTGTCCAGAGAGTGGAATATGTGCATGAATCTGACAAGAGAAGCCATCTTATGGATCTTCTTCATGCTCAAAGAGCAAATGGTGTCCACGGCAAGGTACTGCAACTGATGAGATTTCTGCTTTATTCCAGATTTTGGTTTTAAGATTTACTTCTTCTTCTTCCTATTATTTCCAGTTTATTAATATCCCTTTCTTGGAGGGCATGTGAAAAGTGGATGTAACTCTTAGTTGAGTAAATTGAGTGAACTCATGGTTATCAGTTAAATCAATTGCTTTCATGGAGAACTTTTATATTACAATTCTTTTTGATGAAGAAATCTTTTCTTTCGTCAAGCATTCATATGGGAATTTTCAACAATAATATAATAAATAATAACTTTTCATCAATACACCTATTTGACCTCTACAATTGGGTTTTACGTGATTGTCAACTTCCATCTTATGCAGCGTTTACCTTTATAATGTACAGCAGTCTTATCATTACTGTTGCCCTTCAAATGGGTGGCAGGTTCTTTGAGAGTTCTTTGCTGTAAAATCTTGGTTAATCTTTTATCTTTTTAAAAAAGTTATCAATTATATGGTGGAGCATTTTCCTTCATTTATTTGGAATTTTTTTTGGCAGACGCATTATGCTCTTACTAAATTTTGTTGTTTTTGCCTTCATTTGCAGCAAGCTCTTACTTTGGTTTTTGTGGAGACCAAAAAGGGTGCTGATGCTCTGGAACACTGGCTTTGCATGAATTCTTTCCCGGCTACAGCTATTCATGGTGACCGAACACAGCAGGTAAATTTTGTATTGTCACTTCAGTATTGTTGTGATTGTAAGCTTCCTTTGATTTTGTCTCTATTTTATTGTTCAGTTCAACCTTTGCAATTTATGACTTCTGTTCCATAGTGCCATTTATTTCTCGGGCTTTCTTACAGTTCAGCTATTGAATGCCTTTGTTTTATGTAATGTATGTTTACTCTTTGACTTTTCTCCTCAATTCCTTCGGTTCCCCTAATGTATAAATGGAGTAAAAATTTCTGGCTTGTTTGAATTTGTGAGGTTATGCTTCAGTTTAGTACGGAGTATATTTTTTCTGCCAATTTTGTGTAGGACGGTTCTGTGTTTTTGGGGTTTTGTTCTCTTCAATAATCCAAATAAGGAAAGGGATGACCGAAGGTAGACTGGAAATGGCAATTTTGGTAGATGCCATCTGAGACCATTTAGGTTTTGGTACCATCCATTACAAGGAAAGGGAGTAATATTAACAATTTTAAGCTGCAAAATGCTATTTTCTTGATGAGAATAACATAGAGAATCACCCTCCAATGTTGTGTGTGTTTGTCCCTAATGTGATCTTTGTCCCGCAATCTGCAAGAGACCCGTACATTGTTACCCTTTACACTTGTTTTACCTGCTTCCTTTTTGTTCTCTTGGTTTTGACAAACTTTCCATGCTTCTGCAGGAGCGAGAACAGGCCCTGAGGTCATTTAAAACTGGCAACACTCCCATATTGGTTGCTACAGATGTGGCAGCCCGTGGTCTTGATATCCCTCATGTTGCTCATGTTGTCAACTTTGATCTTCCAAATGACATTGATGATTATGTACACCGAATTGGAAGAACTGGGCGAGCTGGAAAATCTGGTCTAGCTACTGCTTTTTTCAATGAGAACAACACCTCTTTGGCTAGGGCATTGTCCGATCTGATGCAGGAATCAAATCAAGAAGTACCTGCTTGGCTGGCTCGCTTTGCAGCTCGATCTGGACATGGCAAGAGCCGCCGTGGAGGAGGTCGCTTTGGTGGTCGTGATTTCAGGCGAGACTCCTCGTTTACCAGAGGAGGCTCGGACTATTATGGTGGTGGAGGCAACTTCAGTGGTGGATATGGTGCCGCTCCTAGTTACGGTGCTCCTGCTGGTTATGGTGGAGCCTATAATCCTGGAGTGACAAGTGCCTGGGATTAAACAAAATCTTTGTCCATGAATCACATGATGACATTGTGATGTTATTCTGCACATGGGCCTATTAGAATTACTGTGGATTTTTTATTTCAACGTCTTTAGTTAGTACTTAGTACTGAAGTTTTTGGTTGTAATCAGTTTTTGATGCCATATGAGATAAGAGTTTATTTTGTATGGCACCACCATGCATGAGGATAGATGTCTGACAATTAACAGTTGATAATCAATGGTACTAACAGATTAGGGTGTTTTTTTTTTGTTGTTGTTTGTTTGTTTTGATTTTTCTTCATGAGTCTGTTCTTCTGTTTCGTGGGATTTTTTCTTAACTCACAAACTTGACAAACTTGTCTGAGCCTATTCATGCTGTGCATTGTTTTAAATTTTAAATTATGTGCAAATTTGTATAGTAGACACTTGACATTGTTATCCCCCCCCCCTTTTTTTTCTTGGGTAAACTATGGAGTACCTTTATGTGAAAGAAAAAGGAAGGAAAATTCGAAAGCAAAGGTGTAAATTGTCTTAGGTGAATATGTTGTCGGCTCCTGTGCTGGAGAGTTGCTTGGAAGACAGAAAGGGGAGAAAATTCGGATTAGGTTAGGGTTTCGGGGACGGGGAAGTCGAAGAAGAAGGAAGAAACTGAAAATTTCAGTTTTGGCATAATAATTCTCATAATAATTTACAGACCCTTGCCAACTAGTTATAGTTCACATACTTTCGGAAATGTTACTTTAGTCCCTATATTTCTATTCTCTATGATTTTAGTTCAGGGGTATGACATACTGATGTGCATATTATTTATCTATTTTTATTATTCCTTTATTTGAGATTTTGTCAATATTTTGAGTACAAATGTGTTATTTATAGGATTCTATATTTAGTTATAGGAATTGTAGTCAAATAGAGTGATTGTTGGAAATTTGGACTAAATTAAAGACGAAGAGCAACTCAAAAGGATGGAATTGAAGATTTAAAGAACTCGAGGCAAGAAAGTAGAGAAGCTGAATTTTTGGAGGACCAAACGTGCAATTTTGGAGTAAGCTTTGGGTTTTGCCGAGAGTTGCATGGCTGGAAATTCATTTATCGTGGTCTGGTTTTGGAGCCCAAAAAGATCAACGTGGGCTGATCACTTCCAATTGAAATAAATGGGGAAATGATCTGGACCACTTAAGCCCACTGCCCTTTTATTTTTGCTGAAACTTTCGGCCAGCTTTTTCTTGACCGAGACGGAACCGCGAAGGAGAGCTTGTGGCGGTGCTAGCTTTTCGGCGGAAGTTTAATCCCAATTTAATTTGGAAAACAAGTTAACTTAATGTTCAAGATATTAAGGGGTTTGGAGGACTATATAAAGGGATCAAAACCCACGCACAAAAGAGAACGGGCGCACGAAGAGGAAGCCGCGGCTAGGAGCAATTTGAACAAAAGTTTTGAGCGGTGGCCGTGTTCTTCTTTCCTCGGTTCCGTCGTTCTATTTTATTTATTTTAGAATAATGTGTAGTAATTAAACTATTTATAATCTAGGGTTTTAGTTGTAGCCACCAAACTATTTTGATTTATTTAATTTATTTGATATTGTGGCTTTTTCATTAATTAATATTTATTATTCTTGTTTTTCATCCATGTAAATACCTGATCAATATTTGCATGCTTTAAGATACTAGTTGAAGTAACGAGAGTGGAAGATTAGTATTAGTTCGTAGGAATAATATACTTAGGTAGTGAGCTCCGACAGTAGGAACACCGCCTTTGTGACTTGAAATGCCAAAGTTCTTAATGTACTTTTATTAATGTCTATAGGTACGAAAGTAGTCATAGGGCTAATTTGAGTAAGATGGTTATGACACGAGAATGCATAATTCTTAAATTGGTGAATTGTCGTGAAATTAATGAGAGTCTAAATTAAGTCACAAATCTATAAATTGAGTTAAATAATAATAATTAGAAATAATTTTAACCGATACTTGGTGACGAGTCATAAATTAATAGGCCTAGGATTTGGTTACTTGGGAATTAAGCCACAGCCTAAACCTATTCCACTAGGGTTTCAAGAAACAGGTAACATGACCTCTATATAAAGAGGTGGTGTCTCTCCCATAATACACATCTTCTACCTATCTTCTATACCTTCTATATACGATACACATCCTTCTCTCTCTACTCTCTTTATTCTCTTATTGACTTAAGTATCGGAGAGTCTACCATCGGGAGACACCCGAGGCTTTGTCTTGCAGGTTTTAGGTCGTCGGCCGCCGCCTAGGTCATCATCGCCGCCTGTCCTAAGCACCATACAAATCCAAGCTTCGTCAAGTGGCACGCTCAGTGGGACTGATTTGTTTGGTCTTCACAACCAAATAATTTCTTGAAGCGAAGTTGAAATTTGTTGGTGCTTTACGCTGCGCAACATCACCAGCATCATGGCGTAACACAAACAGCAAACAACTGCTACTGCCGCTGAAAAAGACAAGCAGCCAATTCCGGCGGAACCATCCTCTAACAGGCCGTCTGGCGGTTTGTTTGATCAAAACCTCATGGAGGCCTTTTTCAAATTTCACCTACCTTGTTTAACAAATTCCAAGATTTTGTGAAGAGCTTTCATGAGCTCGATGGAAATCAGCGACAACTCTTAGTAAATAACCTAGCTACTATCTCGAAAGATCGAGAGCCAGACCCCGGGGCAGTTCTCGAGAACATCACACTATGAATCGAGAAGATGCTCATCTTTCTTGAGCAGTCATATCTTCGACGCGAGTACCTTCAACCATCGAGGAGCAACTACACAAGATTCTCGGACCTGCAGGAGGTGGTCATAAAGAGGATGACAGTCCATTCATCCAATGCATCCGAGAAACACCCATGCCCGAGAAGTTTGAACTTCCATATCTGAAGCTTATTGAGGTGATACGGATCCCATGGTGTTTTTGCAGACTTATAAGAGTGCCATGAGATTAAGGAATGCTTCCAATGATTTCATGTGTAAGGCGTTCTTTACATACCTTACGGGACAAGCACAACTTTGGTTTGGAACACTACCTTCGAGAAGTGTTCAGTCGTTTTACAAGTTGGGGACTTTGTTCCACACAAGATTCTTCCAAGGTAAGAAGATTCGCAAGACGATCATTGAATTGATGTCCCTCAGGCAAGAACGAGAAGAATCTATTGGAACTTATTATAGTCGCTTCACCAAGGAACAACTTCAGGTAGAAGGAATATCTGAGGAGACTGTGGTTGCCACCTTCATCAATGGTCTTTATCTGTATGGGGCACCTGCTACTTTGAGACAAAAGCTGACAAAGGAGCCGCCACATATGTTGCAACTGCTGTTTTCAATTGTTGAAACTGAAGTTCGGGTGGAAGAGGATCTCCGTCGCCAGAGACAGCCTACATATCTATGAGAAGAAACGACCTGAGGACAAAGTTAAGGACTCTGGGGCAGAGCGTCATTGAGGTCGTGAACGTGATTGGCACCAGGATAGGGGCAAGTGTAAGATAGATGCTCAATACAAGCCCTTAACTCGTCCTCGGACAGAGGTACTAGAACTTCGAGAAGACCGCTCGAGAACTACTTTGGATTCAGAGAAAAGCCAGAAGCGCCCATGGTGTGAGTTTCATCAGAGTTATGGACATGACACTGATGACTGCAAAGCTCTACAGAGTTATGTAGCGAAAGGTCTTCAAGAAGGAAAGTTCACAGCATACACACAGCGTGAAAGTCGTGAGAACGAAGAGCATGATCCTAAACACAACCGCCCAATGATCGAAATACCTTGAGCCAGAGCCGACGTCGAGTAAGGTTTTGAATAATCCCCGAGAAGGTTCCCTTTCTTGGATGACTTCCTACATTTAGTATTTCAATTTCAATATTTATGTTTTTTCAATACTGTTAAGACATTAACGACTCTACTTTGAGGAAAAACTTAAACTCCTCCTTTATTATTATTATTGCAATATCTTTGTCGAAGTTCAATGGCAGAATCCACAAGTTCGAGCCACTTGAGCTCAATCTCCTAAGAAGTCCTTATGCACCACGTTCCTCGAGAAGACCACCACCTATGGACCATTGTCCTTCCGAGGACCTTCTTCTGTCGATCATTGTCTTCTCGAGAACCCTTCTCCAATGACTACTCATCCATTTGAGGACCGTCCTCTCACGTACCATTGTCTCTCATTGAGACCGTCTTTTCATAAACCTTTGTCCTCCTGAAGATCATCCTTTAGAAAGACCTTCCATTGTCGACCATTGTCCTTCCGAGGACCACCCCTTGTCGACCTTTGTCTTTCCAAGGACCCTGTCATCATTGACCCTTGTCCCCTCGAGGACCTTCTTCTGTCGACCATCACCCTTTTGTTCATCTTGCAAGAACATCATGTTCGAGAACTGGGGCAACATTAGAGAAGTTGAGAAGCCGTCAAAACTCCAACCTCGTACTAGTAGCAACCCATATTCTTCTCATCAAGTCTCGAGAATATGGCTTATTAGGGGCACTTGACGAGTCATAAATTAACCCTAGGCCTATTGGACCTAGGATTAGGTTACTTGGGGATTAAGCCACCGCCTAAACCTATTCCGCTAGGGTTTCAGGAAACAGGTAACACACCTCTATAAAGAGGTGGTGCCTCTCCCATAATACACATCTTCTACCTATCTTCTACACCTTCTATACACGATACACATTCTTCTCTCTCTACTCTCTTTATTCTCTTATTGACTTAAGCATCGGAGAGTCTACCCTCACGAGACACCCGAGGCTCTGTCTTGTAGGTTTTAGGCCGTCCGCCGCGGCCTAGGTCATCATCGGTGCCTGTCCTAAGTACCATACAAATCCAAGTTTTGTCACTTGGTAACCTTCTCTGTGGGATCGATCCTGCTTGCTACTTTACTGCTAGTAATTGTATTAAGTAGGTAATTTTATATTCGACTAGTGTGACAACAGCTTGTCACATACCACCCCTCTTAAAACAGTCTTGTCCTCAAGACTGTCAGAAAGGACTAAAAGCTACATCAAAAC